TATTAATTCCAAAATATTTTTTCTAACATTATAACAGTTATTCTATGCGAAATATAGAATAGTTGAGATTGGGAATCGAAAGTGTTCGTTTATAATTTATTCGAGTATAATAAGTAAAAGTCTTTAGGACATCGTTTTCTTATATATAAAGGAAATAATGCAACTGAAATGTTAGAGTTATAACAATTTCCCTTAAAACTTTCAGACAATATTATAAGGAAGCGATATTATAAATGTACTTTATTATTGTGAAGTTTGTAAAGTATACTTTAGAAAAACAAATTGTAATATACATAATTAGTTTGGAAATAAATTGATACTGATATTTTTTTTTATTATTTTTATTTCAGTCATTCAGTTTATTAAGGGGCAAAATGGTGTTTACAAAACGTTTATTTTAGCAATCACTATTGTTACACATGGCTTGGTCACTTTTAATTGGGCTACGTTGAGAATTAAATAGTGAATAAAATATTTTGACTAACCGTCAAAGACGTCGGTGTGTACTTTTTATCTTATCATAGATAAAGAAATATAATGTTATAAAAAAAGTATTTTTGCATAAACGATCGGAATTTACTGAAGAATACTGAAGAAAGACCACCAACGTGTAAAAGTTCTCCCCATACAAATGCCTCGCTACTAACAACAGGAAAAGATCTAATTAAACTCGCTAGAACGGGTATTTTCAACCTAGTTATTTAACTAGAGGAATTTAACGTAATGTGTCCCAATAGGTAATGGTAAATAATTAGGAAGCTATTGTCTGACACATATTGGCAGGCATTCAACACGAGCCCAGAGTGTAGACAGTGCGCTGACTTCTGAGTGGTCTATTAGGATGTGGTCTCAAATAAACACAGTAGATCGCGCACGGCGTCAGGCGTCAGTCTCTTCTAACACTTGTCATTAAAGTGGGAAAGTAGTATGTGATATACCGAGGCTTTGTGATTAGTTAACTTGACGCCATCTTTTAAATAAAAAAAATTGAACAAATCTGACCATATAGGATCTAAGTCGTTGTAGGTATTAGAGGACACGGCGACTTCATTAACGCCCACGTTACGTTATATGTCAATTGTATACCTACCTTTTGACACCTGCAAAATTTTTGGACGTTGGCTGGCGAAGGAATTACACTTCGTGTACACACAACACGTGTTCCATCATAGCAGCATAGCATTTTACTCTATATAAATATGACTGAATATGTTCAAATATCAACGTTAGTTTCGTACCGAGCTGCATACGGCTAAAACAATTTTATTGCATAGCTGAGAAAATGTTTATTTAGCTTTTGGTAAAATAAAGTTATTGTCATCATTGTAGGTGCGATTACAACGCGATAAAATTTTGCCTAATAAGGACAACTAACACTTTTTAATATCGTTGCGTATTATGTAACTAAAATTAACAAAAATATGCCTACAATTTCAATGCACGCGTTAACTTTTTACGAAATATTAATTAAGCTCATTCAAGTCTCATTGACACAAGTGTCTTTGTCCGTCTGCCATGTGGCGGCCATTCCTGGAGACCTGGGAACAAATACTAATTGTTCTACAATAGGTCGACACCTGGACCTTAGCGCGCAGGAAATAGAGTCGAGTTTAACGGGACCGTAGGGAAGGTATCCCAGGCCGGTGCCACATGGTCTACGGTCGACGTGTCAATGCAATAGTCTTTGTACACTTGTCACAGATACAAAATCCCTTGTTTGTAGATAACAAAGAACAATAGGGCTATCGATAGGTGATAGATACATGTGGCCGGACGAGCGGACGCCGGACAGGAAGTCACGGTCTCACTATAATTAACTTGTTTTTCACAAACAATTTGCTAATGCGCTTAAGATTTTACGAAATCGTGGAGAATAACAAGATCGATAAATTGTATATATCTCTAGATCAAAACTAAGTGTGCCTAGTTTTACTCGTTCTATACACTAGCTTTAACGCGGAGAATGAATCCCAATTGTATTTTTAAATAAAAATACAAATGTTTTTTAAAAAATATTCATGACATGAAAACGATAACCCAAAGGGCCACACAACTGATTAGGCATAATTTTTAACTTCGTAATTATCTGTAGGAGATAACAAATGCGTTCTACGTACATTTCCCCTGATAAGTGGACCGTTTCGTTTCGTCACTATCGCAGACATAATACAGCAATAATAACAACATTTACATCCACACATAGTTTTGGTGGGTGTTATACGAAACGAGCTATTCCTCTACCTTTTTGATACTCACTGTCACCAGATTATCGATAGAGTTAGGGAAAAAAAGAAGTTAACAGAATAAAGTTTTATTTGAAGGTTTGATAAGTAAATAAACCTATATTAACATTTAAGAGGTCTATTTTTACACAAACATTATAAAATATCATAAGGATTTGTTTTGGTTCATAATTTAAAATCCAAAGTAACGGATAAAAACGCGAAAATTCCGGCATCGTTGGGAATTGGTCGGATACACGTAATTAAGCCGTCTCTACTAACGACCCGTATATACCTCGATATCGGTGTATTGTTAAGCTGCAATCAATCAATTTTTTCCTAAATCCCGCACTTTCGATATTGTAAAGAATAAAATACATGCGGGTCATTGTCGTCCTACAGAAGTCTCATTATCGTTCCTGTATCGTTTTACATGGGGCTAAGGTAAATCATGATCGTTGTTGATAATATTATAACTATGTATTTTGATTTAAGATTTATCTTGCTAGAAGATACTTTTAGTATTATATAATCTTTGTTAGTTAGAAATAAATGTTCGGGGAACGTACGATCTAAGCACATATATGTACTGCAAGACAAATTAAACGTATCTCCTTGTAATATCTTCGTCGCAGCCTAAGCGAGTTACACCAAAGGACTTTCAGCGTGACAACATTTTTTTCTCACGACGACAGTTGAAGCAACATCTGGACTACACCGAGACAAATAAAACAAAGCGCCAGGTAACATCATAATAAAACATATCTTCGTAACACAAACAAAATAATAAAACGCACCTTTATTGTTTGTCGATTTCTTTTGTTTTGAAGCAATTAGAAAATGTATATTGAGAATTACGAAGGGGGCTACGAACGATGAAATCAACCTATGGTCCTAAGTAGAGAATGGTGTAGTTATTTATTTTGATAAAAATATTGTGTGTGTTTATTATGTAAGTCTTAAATCCGGGTAAGAGTGTGTTCCTAATTTCTAACTAGGAAGATTTTAATAATGTATTTTATCTTGATTTCTAATAATTAACACTATTATTCTGCTATCTATTTTCATTTACCTATTTACGTAGCTATTTCTTTCCAGTCTACAAAAAAAAACTCTTAATAGGTATATCTACGAGGATCAAGAAATAGATTATAAAGTTGTAGTGGTAGTCTAACTACGTCTTTCACCGCCACAGGTCCTTCAATAAATTCTTAGCCATAGGTAATTATGTGGCAATACGATTCTGTGCTGTGAGCAACCTTTACCCGAAGAATCAAGAGCGATTCACACGTGCGTTCAGTCAACCGCGGGTGGCCCTTGTTTTTACAATTTGCCCCCAAATGTTATTGCAAGCCTTCATCGTGCTGTAACCTACTGAGATTTATTCGGGTTAGATGCATTATGCATGTACGAAATAATATCGATCTAGTTATATGACGAGTCCTTTATTATACTTATGTAGGTAGGTGGAATGGTAAAGATAGGATAGAATTCGTCCTGGATCTCTTATCAGCAAATGTATTAAATAACACGACTCGTGAAGCCTTCAATTACTTTTCGTGCTAACTGCAAGTCTCAATGAGAGTCGTTATGAACGTCTATTCAATCTTAACGTGTAAGTAATATTCAGTGTCGACGGTGTCGCTAAGTCAAAAGGAACATAAATTATGAATGTTATGTGTCCTTCACCTTTTCAAACTAATAAACAGACTAATGTATTTAATTAACGTACCTCTGCACTAATCGGCCTCAATAAGTAATTGTCAATCTAATGTCAGTGAAAATATAAGCCCACTCAGTTTAAAAGGTTTAGTTCGCAATTGTGAATAAGCAAAGAGCGATGTAGTAACTTAAAGAAAGTAGCAATTTTTATATAATATAAATATTTCTTTAAGTAGCAAGTAGTTACTTAAAGAAATATTAACAAAAATATATTAAGTAAGGAGGAAAAGCATTGTCCAGTTGCCTGTATTTATTTTATTTCTAACTAACTTTCTTTACTTAAAGTAATTTATAAAAATGTTCAAAAGAATAATGGCATTTTACACCTACTTTACACGTGCCAGATATTTAGATATTTAATACCTTTTATTTGTTTTGTAGGTAGGTACCTGCTGATTAAATTAATTATTTTTGATAGCCATTAAAATCAAATGCGTTATTTTAAAATTAAAAACATGATTTATAAGTCAGTCTGATTTGCAAATCTTCAAATCGTATATCTTGTACAAAACTTTTGAAAGATAATTCTTATCAGAAATACGTGGTACATCTGTCGCCACCTAGTGACAAAAAGCTGAACTAAAAAAATTACGCAGTTCTACCGGACTGCCGCGTACTTTCGTATCCTGAATCATAACTGAGGCGAGTTTCATAGTTTAGAAAGATCATTATTCCATAATGGCCTCACGAAGTTGTTTGATTACACTAAATCCGAATGTTACATTTTTTCATAAGTTTGAGTTTTGGCCCGTTGCATTTTGTTAAATAAATACTCTAGAGTAATTCATTATAAGAATGTAAATTATGTTATCATTCATTTCGCATGGAACAGAAATACATTCGTGATAATAGACGCGTTAGAAAAAGACAGGTAGAAGAAGGTGTGGCGTAATAATAAAAACACCTTTACAAAAACCCTCTACGTAGAGCGGCGCGTAGCAAGGTGTTTATTTCACTTTTAACGTGTGTTCCAATAAAATAGGAAATACACATTTGCAATTATGGCTATGTTAACAAATAAGTGCGCAATGTAAAGGTTTTGATTGGATTTATTAAATGTCCCAAGACAAGTCATGGGGCCGTTCAAGAGCATGTCTGCTCGAAGTTGGAGTAAGACGAGGTGATCGGCGCAGATGCAAAGGAGGTGAGACGCGATGCTGCGAGTGTCCGCTCGGCGCTCACCGGATCACCGCTGGCCGCTACACTAATTAAGTATAGGTGGGGTGAGCCGAGGGGGGAAGGGCGGGAGCGCTGGGGCGGTCCCGAGGCGGGTCGCGCATTCCGCCGCGCGCCGTGAAGCCGGCGAGACGTGTCGCGTGCGGGCCATGGTCGCGAGAACCGATGAGATGTTCGGGTGTTACGGTGACAGCTACTCGTACCGCCTGTGGAGCTTGGCCAACGTGTGGGGCTGCCGCTGTGAGTAGCTTACCGCGAGTGTGTGATCGTGTCGCCAGATGAAAGTGCACAGCTCGCTTATGGGAGTTGGCGGTTGGTACGAAAGTTTTGCGGCCGGTTGGCTTGCAGATATGAGGAGTAAGAAGGTCCCCACTTCGACCACCTCGGCCAGGCGGCTCGCTGCCTTAAGTAAGCTTATTTTCCTTTCGTTTTGTTTTGCTATTCATTTCTGTTTATTTATCACGTTTCTCTCGCTAGTGACGGGACAAATTCTAAAAAGAAACTTCCTGAAATTCCAAAGTAAAAAAAGTCTCAGACAACGACGAAGTCAAACAGGTGAAAATGATAGCACCTGAGTCGCATTAAAAATAAAACTCGAGCACGTCTTCATTAGAAATAACCTCGCTGTCTTCCCTCGCTCCCTCGGGATATAATTCATCCACTCGAGAGCCGGTAACAGGTATACACAGACTTAAAAGAAAGTTTCGTTTGTCGAGGGGAACCCCGATCTCTTTCGACGTCTTAAATCGTAAATGATTATGTTGTTTTAATTCATTTGCTTTTTTACTTTATTCTTTGAGCGCCGCCTGTCTGGAGTGGGGGGATATAGGGAAGCCGGACGCTTGATGTGTTCCACCGGCTCCCAACTTCTAAGCGAGAATAAATTTGTGATTGTTATTTATCGCCCGATACCGAATTATCTTCTGAAACACAATGCGCCGGATGTTTCGGTGGTCTATCGCCTTCATTTTGAAGACATTTTTACATTTCTTGTCCACGATTTTATTTATCTAGAATAAACCGTTTATTAGGGGAGACGTAGAACTGTGTTGTGTATAAAATAATTGTCGCGTGAAATAGAGTGCCAAAGGTACTTTAGATTTGAATGTTTTAAGAGCCGCCTCTTAAAAGTTGTTTAGTCGTTTTGATATCGATATTGAAGAACCTATAATATGCAGCGCCCTATTTTTGCAGACGTTTTCTCATATCCTAATAATGTTTCTATGCTTAGGCGTAATTCTCGTTACAAGACTACCTAATTAAGGAAAACAGAATGTTATTGACAAATACTCTGCTATCGAATACAAACATGATATACCTATGAAGGTACCATTGAGTATTTTCCTAATCACTTGTTTGCTGAGGAGAGACGTACAAATCAACAGACTCATTAGCGAGCCTCTATAATCGCTTGTAAACAATCTTTAGGCAAGTCCATGTCAACTCCGCGATTTCTCATTTAAATAAATAGGTCCTCTCTCGACTCAAGAAGTCGCTATTAACTCTACGTATTAAATTAAATGATGGTAGGTATAGATGATATCGTAAAAGCAATGTATGTAAATGCAATATACTTAGTATTGTATTAAATAGAGAAAACCAGATAAAATGTAGAATTATTGAGTATTGTATATTAGTTATTCAAAGTCGTCAAAAAATAGTCGCACAAATATCATGTTTAGGAAATTTTAAATAATTAAATATTTATTATTCAATCACAAAAGAACTGTAAGACCAATTGTTACGATAGTTAAAATTAATTTATTGTTTATCGAACTAAATACGTATACTATTTAGTTGAATTTAGGGAATTGCCATTTCCATTGTTCACGTATAAAATTTGCGAATATTGTATGGTCTTTGAAGAGCTAACATTATTTTCCTCGTTAAATAATTAAATAAGTCCAACACCTAATAGGTATTAAAATGTTTTACAATATAATTAGGTATTTAGGTCTCCGTTTAACCGCGACGAAGTCCGTTTGTGGTTGACATTTGTTTACTGTTTAAAATAGGAACTCGGTATATTTTTATCCAACTTAACCATTATATTTCGTCATTTTTTTAAACATTGACGATGGTACAAGTTCAGATCAAGACTCACTAGCGAATTAAAATTATATTTCTTTAGGATAATAATTAAAGTGTAATTACAAACTATGAATATACGGTAAGTAGGTGCTAATATTCGTATTTAGACAAGAAAAAACCGCATTAGAAAATACTTTGCATTCCCTTTGTCTTGCAACAGTCAATCATTATTCTTTTGAATATTACATTTTGATAATAGGTAACTGCTTTTCGAAGTTGTTCTTATATTCTACTACTTTTGTTCGTGAATCCGAACTCTAATGCTTAAAACTTACATTGTGTTATTGATGAATAAGAATACATTAAATAAGTTTGTGAAACGAAAAATACCGCAATCTGGAGCGCAAAGTTTACAAGCAACATAATATTAAACCATCTATGATTTAAAAATTATTTTCTCCCGGCTTCCAGCCCCGGATGGGCTACTATTGAATTTTCCATCTCCAGTTATAGGTAACAAATATTGCAACTGTATTTACTTTAGCAATTTTATAATATGTACTTGGACGATTTCGTTCGATAATTGTAAACAATAAAATGCGAGATCAAAGTCAATAAAATAATATACATTCGTTTATTATTTTATTGCCTACATAAACATATGAATCAGCTGACAAAAATACTTCTGACCGCAGTCCGCTCGAGCACCACTATATATGTCTAGAACGAATATTTTCAGCGATAGTAAATAGGCAATTTAAAACATTGAACGCGATTTTTCGACATGAGTAGGCACCACAATTGTGAGTTCAGAGCTTTTGTAGTGCGCATACGCACAGGTGCGACCAATCAGCGCGGCCGTGTGTGCGCCATTTACTAACTGTTATCAGGCTACCGTTGTGTGGGTGCGATAATTGTTTATGTAGGCAATAGGAAGCGAGGGCCGCGTGTGTGAGTTTTTTTTATCAACGACTAAACGGACGCTGCCCGTGCGCAGATTACTGACTCGTGTAGGTGTTCTCGTCCGTTCCACCTAAATGATAGCCGATAGCAATTATGTTGTTCGTTGTCTGTACACGCGTTGTAATGAATAATCGATACAAAGTTCATGAACCTAGTATGATAAATGTTTTAAGTTATTTCCGTGGAATTAAGCTTTTAGAAGCTAAAAGGAACCTTTCGATTCATTTCACTCACGACACTAAAATTGGTACCAAGTAAGCCTAACTTATACACATTATGACATGTATAACAGTTAGGAAATATAATGTAACGATATTTCATCAGTTTTAAAAATGATTGTCCATAGTTCATACATGAACCTATAAGCAGTGTGAGGTCGAAGTTATATGAAGGCTGTTAGAGCCAGAGTGGCCTAATAACAAAAAAAAATATCATCATTCATCATATCATTTCAATAAAGAGGAAAATAAAAATGCGCAATTAACTTAGATGAAAATGAATTTGTACTATTATTTGTGTAATAATTATGTTAACAATTTTCGGTCACTGTGTTTTTGTAGATTAACTTTTAGACTATAAAAATATAAAAAAATCAAATCATAAAATTGCAGTTTGGGTACTCCGCCCCTGGCGGCCTCATATATTAAAAGAGCTTCTAACGCCATCTATCGGCGAGTAGGTGTAGCGTTATTATCGAACACGAGACAACTAAGGTACGACCCAACTAAAATCTACGTCCAACGTCCATATTCTACTCTTACATCTTTCAATCTATACTAATATTATAAAGAGGAAACATTTGTATTTTTGTATGTAACGGATAAACTCAAAAAGTACTAGACCGATTTTAATAATTATTAGCCGCAAAATGTCTTTTTACGCGTACGCTGCGAAAAGTATTAATGATAGGACAAAAAAATGTTCGACAATATTACAGAATATATCATATATATTGTAGTTACGTTGCTATAACTACTTTTTTACATTTAACAAATTGATAGAAATACCGATCAAAATCAGACGGTGTTTCCATACCATTTATAAATTTTAATCAAAATAAATAAATAATAATATTCAAGACTGTCTCAATACCTGATGATTACTTTTTTAATTATTGAAATCGGACATTCCATTGAAAAGATAATATCTAGAAATTAAAAAAAAAAATGCTCGCCGGCGACGGCCGCCACGCCGCGCATCGAGTAACTAATTCGACGGTAGAGCGGCAGTGGGCTCCTTACGCAGTAGGCGCGAACGACATTGAATATTTCGATTTTTTTTAAACATTTTTATGCTTCATAATATATATATAATGTGTTATTTTACACATTATATATTTTAAAGTTTTAAAAATATTTAAATATGCATGAAATTTTTAAGACAAAATGAGCCAGATTTGTTTAAAATAAGTAAATCTCGTGCTTTTTAGCAGCGATAGAGAAATTAAAAACTTTAGTGTAACCGGGATCATTTTCACCAATTTCATGCTACATGACAAATACCACTAATGCGCATATAATAACAAGTTACCATCTATTTCGTACGTATACAAAACTTTTACTATAGCACCGCAGTGGATCTGATATGTTCCAAGGTTCGAACGTTAGTTAGTAATACATTATCGAAACCTTATCTGGCTGTCGATAATGTAAACTTCATGTATAGCTCTGTAATATCGGTTAGATAGTTTAAGCAGGGTGTCGGGCGTTAGACGGAATGGCCGGTGCGCTGTTTACGAGGCCGTAATTTCTAAAATTCAATACCAGTCACCGCCTGCAGTTGCACAAAACCTGCTGTAAGGGCTCATTCATATGACGTCTGTTTAATTTAAAAGGTTTACTTCTAGCGATTAGACATACCTCCACAAGAACGGTGAACTTAAGAAGTTAAAAAGATAATTTATAGAATTTTAAGAGCACACATTCAACCTTTTTTAAACGGATATGAACACAAACTGATCTTTAAATGATTAAATTTATTCCCAATGAATATTAGTCTAATGTGTAGGCACAGGCACAAAAAATAATTGCGTCGTCAAACTAGTATGTATTACATCATCACCCCGAACGATCGTTTAGGAACCAGGTCTGCGAGAGCTAATGAAATATTTGACTAGGCTTTGATGAGCTCTATTTTCTGACGTTAGAAAGCAAAAAGGCTAATTTATGATGATAAACCAATTAGACTTGAATCCGTTTTATATCTGGCTTGATACGACCGTGTCTACCGGGCTAATCATTACAATGGCAAACTTCAAGCAGTCTTCTTTAAGTAAGGTGTGCGCACACCTTTAATCGCTTAGCACGTACGCACTCCGTTGTTAGGACGCTAATTAATAGGCATTGTATTATTTTGTTTGATTTACAAGCCTGCCCGCTGCCGCCGTGCGCCGCCACGGGAAACTATTTTTAAAAACGATAAACCATCGCCAGAATAACCGCCAACGTACCAAATAACTGCCATTGTGTTAATTATAACTTAGTTACACACGCTTGAACCATTGTTCGTCCGCTTCTTTATTAAACGATTAATGCAATTTATTCGCTTGTTTTTCGACTTCTTTGTAATCAAGAGGTAAACGAGAATAAAAAGATAGTATATATAAGAGCATAGCCACTCTTCATTCATTGTTTTTAGATATGGATTTATGTACAGCTACATAAAGCCTTCGTGATATTTAGCACCCTTTGTTCTGTTTGTTTAGTGTATATAATTTATATTTTACGTGTGTTTATTTCAGTTCGTCCTCTAGCTGGAGGGGGGTCAGAAGGAAAGCCCGAGGAGGAAGAGGAGAGGGGCAGTTCGCCGCTCGGGCCCGGTGGCCCTTTCAGCTGCAGCCAGTGCCGCGGTGCTTACCCCACGCGCGAACAGCTAGAGAAGCATGAGACCCTACACTCCCCGAGCACTCAGGTGGATACTCTCAAATATGTCAGTGTACATTGTTAAACACCTTACTATGCCCTACTGCTGTGTCCGCCGACACACCGCGTCGCTTGCAATCCCCTGAGCGGGTTTCTAATTCCAATTTCTTGATTTAATTCTACGTCGTAATCGCAAACCATTTTAAAAGAACTCAGGATTAAATAATAATGAAGAAATTGACCTTATAGTTGATAAATCCTAATTGAACCAAGTCTTTATTTTCAAGTTATCTTCGTCTATGTGATATTGTTCTAATTTTTAATTCTATTATGTGCACCTTTTACAAAAATATGGAACTATAAAAAATACGGCTAAAAGTAGGAATGTAATTTTTTTACTATAAAAATGAATAAATATCAGTGTTGCATTGAGCGAAGTTTTCAACAAGCACGAAAATTTCAAGGTATGCAATTCACTATGGTATTAAGTAGTTTGGTTGCTTGAGAAACACGCTAGAATTAGTAGTAGTCACAATATAGATTGTAGTAGTAGAAATTTGGTATTCAGAAAGGTAAGGCGAATGATTTTGTTACAGACCTGCAACATCTGCTACAAGACCTTCCCCAAAATGAACCAATTGCAGCGACATGCTTTAAGCCACAATGAAAACCCTGATCTACGAAAATATAAGTGCACTAATTGTGACAAAGCTTTCAAACATAATCATCATCTTAAAGAACATTTGAGGATTCACAGTGGAGAGAAACCCTTCGAATGTGTGAACTGTGGGAAGCGCTTTTCTCATTCGGGTTCATACTCGTCCCACATGACGTCTAAAAAATGTCTCGCAATGAATCTTAAGATGGGAAAAATTAAATCTAATAACCGGATTCAAAATGTCGATAATCGTCCAATGACGGCTCAAAGTAACGAAATGGAAAATTTTAAATTAGACGGATATAAAGTGCCTTCTCATCCCGCAGTCTTACCGATGATAAGTAAATACAAAGAAGCGGCAGCTTTGTTCGCCTCAATGTTTGGCCATGCCAATTTTAGTCCGGAAGTTTTGCACCAAAAAGTTACTCAAAATTATACACCTCTTAACATACCAATGGTCCAAAATGGCTATTTGTCATACGACATTCCTGGTTCTTTCAGTTACTTACAGCATATGAGTAAAACAGAAGAAACATCTCGTGGTAACCCACACGATTTGATTGAAGAAGTAAGAGAGGAGAACGAAAATGTATCCGAAGGAACAGCTGAACTTGTTATGGATGTAGATGCCGATCCCGATGATATCAAACAAAATTGTAAAAATTCCGTTCGATCTGAATTAAAACCTGTTGATTATGTAAATAACCCTATATCAATAAAATCGCTGCTTCAGACATGGCCTTGTGAGAGAAACGAGGTCGCGTCTTCTAAAGACGATCAAGTTGAAGAAATTTTAAAGACAAGTGAAGACGAAGACTCGTCAAAAGGCTTTCGAGAAGAAACCTCTCTATACGGAGCAGATCGGAAAGTCAGAGTCAGAACTGCACTAACTGATGAACAACAAGCAGTTTTAAAAGAGCATTTTGTTCTTAATCCACGACCGAACAGAGAGCAGTTTAAAACTATCGCTCAGCAAATAAACCTCGATAATAGAGTCGTTCAAGTGTGGTTTCAAAATAACCGCGCAAGGGAACGACGAACGAGCCAAAGTACGTGTCAACTAGATCAACCACTTGATTTATCAACAAAAAAAACTAACGAAACTGAGATACCCAGTCCGACAGCTTCTCCGACGTGTAACATTTCAGTGACCTCTGATTCAGAAGAAGCAATAAATTTAAGTCAAAGATCGTCACGGAGTACAACTCCCTACCGTTCAAACCACTTAAACTCGTATCCAGATTCCAACTGCTCTTCCTCCTCTCTTACTGATATTCGCCTATCTCCCGAAACTACGTCCGTGCCAATGGAACAACTACTTTATTATAACAATTTTATCAACGGGCGTAGCGCACATTTTCAAACAAATAATAAATTGTCAGAAAACATACATATGTGGAGTCCATCTCGAGCCCAATATATTAATAACAATCAACTGCAAAAGAATTCCGATGTCGACGGAGAAACAAAGTTGAAAAAATCTAAATTAAGAGAAAGCACTATTGATACTAAGTATGAAGATAAATTATATTCTTGTGACCAATGCGAGAAAACCTTTGTGAAGCAAGGTTCGTTAGTTAGACACAAATACGAACACTCAGGTATTTTTCTATAATTTTGTATAACTTAACAGAGATTACCGATAGCAAACATATAAGTTGAATGAAATCTTTGTTTAATTTTGCAGGTCAACGTCCGTACAAGTGCTTAGAGTGTCCAAAAGCATTTAAGCACAAACACCATTTGACCGAGCACAAGAGGCTGCATACCGGGGAGAAACCCTTTCAGTGTTGCAAATGTCTCAAGAAATTTTCGCACTCCGGCTCGTACAGCCAACACATGAACCATAGGTTCGCTATCTGCAAGCCGTATAGAGATTAGAGTGTACGGACGCTTTAAACTAAGTGATGTTTATTACTGAATAAAATGGACCAAACAATTGTGCCAAAGATTTTAGAACAAATAGTAGTCTATGTTGTAAGATTAAGTAATGGTAAACCTGACATATTTAAGAGTGGCGATGTACGTACGTAGTGAATAGAAGAAAGTATTTGTCGCTCGGTATTTGTTTGCTCAAGGCGATGCCATCACAATCGTTTTAAAAACCAAATAGAACTTACTTAGATACTATCTTTATGGGAATATTTAATTGACAACAACGTTTATAAAACGACGTGTTATAATTAAAGTTATGTACTTCGGGTTATTTTTATATCTCAATAGCAAATTATCTTAACAGTATTTAAAGATTTTTTCACAACGATACTGGATTGCTGTCTTTTTGCCTTTTTATTGGTGTTTATTTTTATTTTCATAAGCTTTTGGATTTATAATATCTCAAGCATTCCACAATTGTTACTTTGTATATGCATAAGTTAGAACCTTACATATTGATTTCATTAAAACTAATTTAATTTGTAAATAGATACTCTACCATAACATGATTAAATAAACTTAAACGAATAAATAAATATATACAGACCAACATTTACATATTGTATATTAATGTGTTCTCAAAATTCCTAATTATTATTGGATGTACTTAGTTGCCATAAAAGCGTAACATTAAAGTGACCTTTTTATTTAATCACAGTAATTCTCATACATTCGATACGTAAATATTTCAGAGCAAAATGCATTTTTTTTAAACTTTACACAAATATATTAATATATATATATTAGTTTCTCGTACAAACCAATCACTTTTCGTCATTACAGTATTGTCAACCAAACAACAAAAACAAAATTATTTACAAACCCGTTTAAGATTAGGCCCAAACAGTGTATTATAAGAAATAATATCGTATAAAAAATCTATAATCAGTATTCTAATATTGAATAATTGTTTCAAACAAAATACAAAGTATAGTTACAAGCCACCACCTTGTGTACATAATTGTATCATAGTATAGTAGGCGTAGTTTATTTTTTCTTTTAGATTTTAATTTAAATAATAATACGAAAATTCCTATATGGTGGGCTAGGTAAACCAAAGATTAATTAAAGAATAAACGAATCGAAATCTGTAAATAAAGTCGATGTCGTAGTAGTTCAATAAGTTAGCGATAATGTTTGTGTCTAAAATAGTGGCATTATGTACTAAGAAAAAATTTTATATTAATATTAAGCATATTTTAGAGGTGTTAAATTGTATTTTTGTATATTAGGTTAGTTCCAAAGCTATCGTGAATTCCAGTTGCCATAAAATATTGTATTTACTTAAAGATATTCTTATTTAAGTTAACATTTTAAACTATCTTACTTTAGACAATATCCATCTCCTGTTTTCTTTTTTACTAAATACGGTTATGTACAATTTTGGTATAAGAATTTATTAAACAATATTTGTTTTAAATAACATTTGTGTTTTATTTATAACTTCAAGATATGTTTATATATGTTACCTATATGACAATGAGTTAAAACATTTCTAACATAGTAAAAGAAATTTATATTTTCATTTTAAAGTAATCACAGAAAATTAGACTGACTATTTGTTATAAAAATGAATAGCGCATATAAAAAAGTAGTTTGTACATTTTACCTTTATATCTTATTAAAGTGAACTACGGGAAAATGATTATATTAAAAATTATACTTGCTCACGTATTGTAAATAAAAGAGGAGTTAAATACTTTTAAAAAATCTGTTTTGTGGTTTAAATCGAAAGTAAAGGTGAGCCTTTTTATTTACAGACTTGCAAGATCTGCCACAAGAGTTTCGCCAACGTATACCGTCTGCAACGACACATGTTAAGTCACGACGAGAGCGCTAATCTGCGAAAATTTAAATGCAATGACTGCGACAAAGCCTTCAAATTCAAACACCATCTCAAGGAACACCTAAGGATCCATAGCGGAGAGAAACCCTTCGAATGTGCCAATTGCGGGAAGAAGTTTTCCCATTCGGGATCTTACTCTTCGCACATGACTTCGAAGAAATGCCTCGTGATGAACTTGAAAATGGGAAGAATTAAACCGAACAATCCCGCACTTAATCCGGATCGAAGTCCGTCGAGAAAGCGAGCGAATGCAATGGTCGCTTCTCAATTGAAACATAATATGGCGCCAAACGGCTTCTTGCCAATCTTGCCAAAATATAATGAAGCATTTTTTGCGTCTATGGCAACGCAAGACCCCAATTTTCACCGGCCTCCGCTCGGCCAACCGGGAATAAATCCATTTTACATGCCGCCTGGAATGCCCATGAGTCCTGAAACGGGAATCACTCCATACAGTTTTCCTGCATCATTGAGCCAATTATTTCAGCAACTAGCTACACAACAGTATCAACAAAGAAAAATAGAAAGTCCTAAACAAATGAATCATTCTTTGTCTAATTCAGAAGATCTTATTGAAGAAGTACCCGAAGACGACGATAAAAGGTCTGAAGGTAGCGCAGAACTAGTTATGGACATAGAAGAAGACGAAAATGTATTAGTCAAAAAAGAGCATGATAGCGATGAGAATAATTTAATACCAGCTTTCCGCCACTATGAATCCGTCACACTGAATAACAATCGCCGCGACGATGACAATAATCTTGGCTACAATGCCATACTTGAGCCCGTAAACACGAGCGTGGAAAAACATTTATTTAGGACCAATACGGGATCTTTATCACCTGTTTCTGGCAATGTGTGTCCAAGTATAGACTCTCCACCAACTCCGCACGTTATTATTAAGGACGAACCGATCGATGGTCATAGATGTTCCAAGTGTAACACAAACTTTACTAGCAAGAATGACTTAATGGAACACGAAAAAGTTATATGTGGAAATGTCTTCCGAAAGCACGAGGGTTTAGCGGCCCAAGTTGCCGAAACAGTAGCACTTAATAGACTGGAAGCGGAAATGAGGACATCAATCCAAAGTGGGGTAAGTGCTAGCGAAGACGAGGACTTTGGTAAAGATGAGCGTGACGATAAATCTATTAATGAAAACGACAGAAAAATTAGAGTCCGAACAGCCCTCAATGAAGAGCAGCAAATTATTTTAAGAGCACATTACGCATTTAATAAGCGACCGAACAGGGAGCAGTGCAATAAAATCGCTCAAAAAGTTGGACTTGACAACAGAGTTGTACAGGTGTGGTTTCAGAATTTTCGAGCGAGAGAACGGCGAATGAGTTTATCAGCAACCCCAGCAGATCAACCACTTGACTTGTCAACGAAGAAGTCAAATGTATCTGTAACCTCCAGTCCATCGCCGTCCCCATGCAGTATTTCGGTAACACATTCCGATTCCGAAGAAGCTGTGAATTTAAGCCAAAAATCATCGCGGAGCACAACTCCTTACCGTACTGGCTATATTAATCCCTATCCACATTCCAATTGTTCCTCCTCCTCCCTCACTGACTTTCGACTATCACCATCTCCCGGCGAAAATATGGCCTCACATAAGCGAACTTTGCAGAAGGTTGCTGTGAATCCCATGATACCTATGGATAAATTACTACAGTACAATGACATAGTCAACGGAAGATCGCCTATCCTTAACATGCACATCATGGCAGACAATAGGCAAACATCAAGCCCATTATATGATCGGTCCGCTTGGAATGAAGATCTGCAAGGCCAACCTGATTATGAAGACGATGCAACGGTACTTAAGAAAAGCAAACTGAAAGGAAATGATATTAAAGAAAGCGAAGGACAATTTGTCTGCGATCAGTGCGATAAAACATTTGTGAAGCAAAGTTCCTTAGCTAGACATAAATATGAACATTCAGGTAATCATCTAAGTTAATATTCTATTATAGATGGACCCACCGAACAGTGGGTTCGGTTGTAAAGACATTAAACACGTTATAACTCCTCTTTTATTCACTGCAGGTCAGCGTCCATACAAATGCTTGGAGTGTCCGAAAGCCTTCAAGCATAAGCATCACCTGACTGAGCACAAGCGACTTCACACCGGGGAGAAACCCTTTCAATGTTGCAAGTGTCTCAAGAAGTTCTCTCATTCTGGCTCATACAGCCAGCATATGAACCATAGGTTTGCTATCTGCAAACCCTACAGAGATTAAGTAGTTCTTCATCTTCATCTGAACTATTACAAATGCCTAAAATTATATTATGTTCCCAAAGATAAGGCAATTTATGACACATTCCGTCTAGTTTCGAAGCTGGTGAACAATATAAGGAACGATATATGAAATTTTCTTTATTTACTTATGTTAAAAGTTTATATTATGTACAAAGTTATGCCAAAGCAGAGATGTCATTTAGATCTCTATGATACGCAAGTAAAGAAGTGCCATAAAATAATTGTAGCTAGAAAATCTTCCAAACTATGTTAGGTTAAAAAGAGTAAATATAAAGTATTTGTTGCTCGGTATTAGAATACGTTCGGGGTTTCGAAAACACTTTGCTCAACGTCATATACATATATTAATTTAATTTTTGTTCGTACATGCCAAAGATGTGCCATGTTTACCAAAAAGAAATACTTTAAGTGAGTACTAGGTATTTTTACTGAATCTGAGGACAGTACCTGTAATATAATACTCAATTTAATATATAATTATAATTTTAAGAAAACTCCGTTCAATCTGTTGTAATTGAACAAAAGTAAGGTAGTTTTTACGTGGTTTAAGTAATGTTTTCGTCTTATTTTAATACAACAATTTGGTAAAAAAATAAATGTTAAGTGAAAAGTGTTTATCTCTATCTAAGCATAACGCATTCCATTATAGCCACTCGTTTGGGATCTCTACAGTTTTAAAAAAAACCCCATATTAGTTCGAAATTTAGGCTTAAGAATAGAAAGTGTGTATATAATATCTGTAAATATAGGTGTAGGTGGCTTATAATTAATTTGAATGAATTAGTTTAGGTGAGCGGATTAATTCCCGAGTAAGCCTCAAAAACAATGAATGTAATGACAATAATCGACGATCGTTTATGAATGCAATAGGACTAAACACATATATATATATATATAATACTTAATGTTAAAGATATAATTGTAAGCTAATGCCGCGTGTAGATAAGCTAGGTATTATTTTTTATTGCTTATATCACTGTTATTAAATTTGTACATATTATGCCAAATAATACTTTTGTGACAATGAGATTTTAAGTGTCACCAAACGCCCTTTTAAATTTATCTAAACTCTATTATCGCACATCACTTTATACATAAATGAAATAATGTAAAAAAGACGCTGTGGGCTGAAGAATTTCGCAAAAAACCTTGTTATCTGTATTTGACTCCTGTATCAAAAGTTTTTTAGAGATATTAGTGATAATAAATTCTGATGGCCTCTTTTGATTTGCGGTATTAAGTCAAGCGATGCTAGTACAGCACTATTAGAACTAAAAGTTCCTAAGAAACTCAAGTATTTGTAAGGACAACTATAATTTTTATAATAATTGCTGGGTTTGTTGTAAGTGAACAGATAATATATAATTTTGGGAGAGGTTTCAAAGCAACGAATTACACGTAACGTTTAATTTAATTCCAAGCAATATTATCGATATTGTCATAACTATAAGAAATTAAATATAATTACTTTAGAAAATTTAGTGTTACAATGTAACTTGTGTTTTCGAGCTATCATGCCGTCGCGTTTGGCAACCAGAGTTGTCTCAGACGCGTCGAAGCTGCTCGGAAACCCAGGTGGCGTTGCAATATGGCCCCGAAAGCTTTGTACAACTTAATGTTACAATTTTAAATGTCAAATGCATTTTTTACACATACCCAAATTCATTCTTTATTTATTATTTACTTGAAGGCATTTGATAAATATGGACGATTGATAAATTAATCGATAAGAAGAAATGTCCATTAAAACACCACAGAGAATTTCCATCGTAAATCTAAAATGTATACCTAGATTGAGGATAGTACGCGGCGAGAGCTTAAGATAACTGAATTGAATCTTTTCCTAATTAAATTCAAGAGTATTGTACACGTATTAGTATTATAGCAGCTATTATGATCGATTGATTGATTCAATACTTACGACATATGTCAAGAGTTAAATAAACGGTGGGCTAGTTAAACCAAAGATTACTACAATATTGTCTACGACGCGAAAAAGCGTATTGAATAAATCCGTCATCCTTAAGTTTAAGTTGTAGATACTAAATAATTATAATGTGTGCTAAGAGAACATTCTTATTTTTATGATGAGGCATTGAATAAATTATAAAATAGTGTAATCGGTTGCAATAGTATGTTGCAGAGACCTTCTTTATAGTTTAAGAGCTAACGTTGATGTAAATTCCTATTGCGATCCGTATTCTGTTTGTTGTGTGTCCGCCGTGCGCCATTCCGTATCTTGGAAGTTGCGGTAGGCGCAAGCAAAGTGAGCACTTGTTATCGGCAAACTATAATCTAGATTGTTAAACTTACCCATAGATTAACATGTGTTAAAATATTGCCTATATAAATTATTGTAATTCATTTTACTTGATATTATAATGTATATGGAATTTATGAATATTAAAAATATTATATTATATATGTATATTGAAACTTCAACACCCAAGGTATTTTCATTTGCTTCCATACAATACTTTACACGTCTGCAGGAAATGCTAGTCGACATTATTATAATAGTAGTTACTTTATAATAGTAATTGACAACGTTGTGTTAAAACTTGGGGATGATTAGATAAACTAGCGTCGAAATATCAAAAATCGTTGTTATCAATACGAACATAAACGAGACTTGAATCAGCATCTACAGCGAACCGTGCTTCTGCTATATCTCGCTCATACCCAACACATACATGCACCTTTCGCGCCATGAAATAATTAGTCTAAACCTATGATGGATGAATATTAAAACTGTCTTTCAATTTAGCTGAAGAACAAACTGTGAGTTTCCAACGTGCAACGATTCGAGCGCGGGGTCGCTGGTTCTGACAGAATGGCGACTGCGCAGCTACAAGACAAAACCTTGACGAGTCTATCAACCATCATAAAGTAATTAAAGTCGTGTTTCCATAGATTAACTTAACGTCTGCTTAAGACGTAGATCTGCGCTCGAAAAATGTTTACCCTTACATGCCTGGGACGTGTATTTGCGTCCAAACGTAACTTAATTTTTAAAAAGGATATTGTGTTTTAATTCCTGTATTTTTGGGTCTACTTTCTTTTGTATCCAAAGTGTACTAAATGAATGTGCCTTAAGGGCCCATTGTCGATTGTTTATACAATAGGAATACGATGTTTAAACTCATTCATTTTGTTTGCGCGTGCGAGAGTGGACACATCCCAATTTGTTAAATCTTAAAAGGAGTCAATCCCGAAATATCTGTAAGTATTTCCACCTATTTTTTCTACTTTACTTATTGTTCATATTATGTAGAACTTATAAAAAAATAAAAATAAAAACAATAAATGTTAACTAACGACATATAGGTAAGTAAATGTCCCGCAATAACTTTTCGGTTAACAATTTTGATTTTCATATCGACTTATCTTTGCATTGATCGCGTTAAAATATCATTTTTATATATCATTAAAGAGGAAATTTTATAAGCTTTTAAATGGTTGTTGTAACTGTCAAAGATATAGATTCGTTTGTAAAGAATATTAAAAAATATTTAGAACTTTCTAATCTCAAAACAACCCCACGCACACATGCTCATTTTTGAGCATTGTTCTTACACGTGCCAGATGTCGCAAAAGCAATCGGAGTCCTCAAAATTGTTTACAGTATGATGTTTATATTTCGAATACGTTGAGTTTTAACTAGTCGTTATGACTAAAATGTTTATATTATAAAACGACTTTGCTTTGCTTGATGTTATTATTGAGAGTTGAAATTGAGAACTTTAATATTTTTCACACTTTATTGCACATGATGGCATAAATATACATACATACATATATATAGATTTATAAAGAACTTTTTCCTCGCTTATGCGAAACTATACCTTAGTTTCGCTATTCGCTAACAATAACTTTAATATTTTTTTCTCCTCCTAGGATTATATATTTTTTTAATTATATGCATGTTTTTCTATTTGCTTTTATTTTAGGTTACTATGGTGGTGGTACTAGATGTTGATAAGTTTTTAAACAGGAGAGACTTTTTGCTATTGTTACACGGGGAGTGCGAATGGCCGTGGGAAGAGACGCACTTCCTACGAGCGCAAAGTTGTGGTGCATGCCATGCGGTTGTGAATCCGCATGAGATCATGCATATCCGCATGGCCATGAGCCATAACGACATTCGCCTCCTGCTGAAGGCCAAACATTTCTGGTGTGAGTGTGGTCATGCGGTGTACGACCACTATCCGCCAGATGAATGTGCATCGTGTGCATAAGTAATGTGCTTGTTTTTTATGCATGATACGCTTGTCTAATTTGCTGGATTTTTTAGTTATCCCGTTTTCATTTTCTTATTAAATTATACTTATCAACATGTCCTGAAAACTAAGCTATTGTATAAAACCGTAGGTCGGAATAATGGAGCAATCTCGAAGCAACGGAATGCCACTTGAGAAAGTTGATGCGTTTGATTTTGAGGTATATTTTTTTTATAAATTTTTTATATTTGTCATATTATTAAAATCATGTTTTATTAAGGGCTTCTTACTATTTTAGATGCTCGGGCCCCTAGCTGAGGAACTAAGGCTTGATTCGGGAAGCGAAAGTGAGGACGAATTTATGTCGGTGGAAGAGATACGTGCGGTCCTCGGAGGGTCGAAAGATTTTGTCGATGAGGAGGAGGAAATACCGGCCGAATCGTTCGACTGGTCTTGTGACTACGAGATATTTCGTGGTCGGCCTGAGCCATACTTAAACGCAAGCAATTGTGGCCCTAACATTGAGGAAACAGATCCTCTAAAGCTGTTCACTCATGTTTGGGATCATAATATAATGAGTTTAATTGTGGCTCAGACCAATGAATATGCGTGGCAGCAAATTTCGCAGGCTGCCGAATCCGTGGACGGGATCTCTGCGAATTCCCGAATAAACGATTGGGTAGAAACAACAACTGACGAACTTTATAGGCTTTTTGGGCTCATAATGTATATGTCAATCGTGGTAGCTGGACGAGTGGACGAATACTGGAATAGAGAAATTGTGGCTATCGGTGGTGGTTTTCATAAAGTTATGAGTTTAAAACGATACTGGCTCCTCATGCGTTTCCTGCACTTCGTCAATAATTATAATGTAAGTATTTGTGGGTCTAAGAGGAAAGTTGCAAAAATACAGCCCATCATAGACCATTGTAACGTGATTTTTGATAGCATGTACACGGCTCGCAGAGAAATTTGTATCGATGAATCGTTGCTGCTTTACAAAGGGCGTTTAAGTTGGATCCAATGCATCCGTTCAAAAGCAGCACGATTTGGAATCAAATTTTACGAACTCTGCGAATCTAAAACAGGCTATCTTTTAAAATTTGAGGTCTATACGGGCAAAGAATATCCACAGGCAGGGAGCTCTGGAGAGAACTCCTTGAATGCGTTTACGAGCGCTAGTGCCAAGGTAGTGCTTAGGCTCATGAAAGGATTTCTTCACAAAGGTCACTGTCTTTTTATGGATAATTTTTACAACTCTCTTCGTTTGGCACGATTTTTAAAATTTAATAAGACTGACGTTGTTGGCACTTTAAACAGGCGAAGAATTGGTACACCAGGGGAAATAAAAACTCTCCTGGAAAATAAAGTTCCAAGAGGAGCAGTGACAAGTAGACACTGCGGTGACGTATCTGTCTTATCTTGGAAAGATGTTCGATTAGTCACTACAGTGTCGACTTTTCACAATGCCAACATGATGCCAGGAAGAAGAGCAGGCCGGCCCATACTAAAGCCTGTGGTTGTACACGACTACAATAAGTACATGGGTGGTGTAGATTTAAAAGATCAAATGCTGTCCATGTACTTAATGGAGCGAAAAAGGGGGTTGAAATGGTATTTAAAAGTCTTCAAACGGCTATTAAATGTGAGCATTTTGAATATTTTTATAATACATCGCCAAAACAGCGATAAGCCCCTCACCCACAGGCGATATAGGATTGAATTGGCTAAACAGCTCGTGCATGTGCGCCCAAATCCACCGATTCCTAGCATCATGAATCCGCCTGCAGTTTCACGATTAGATGGTTTTAACCACTTTCCGATATACTCTGATTCTGTAGAGAATAGAGTAGAGAACAAAAGAGTGAGATTTAAAAGAAACCGATGTGTTCGATGCTCTTTTAAAAAACTTCGGAAAGAAGTTAACACCATTTGTCAGAAGTGCCAAAAATTCCTGTGTATCGGACAGTGTTGGATAGATTATCACACTGTCGAAAATCTATAGTATCTCTAAAACTACTGCACCGATTTTTTTTAATAGGCACGGCACAGGGTACGTATGAGGAGCTAGTCAGTTCAGTTTTTGTTTCTACTTTCGTTTTATATGTATAATCATTTATTTTATAATTTTATTTTGTATAATCATTTTGATATATTAACATTGATTAAAAATTTAGTGTAATATATAATAGATATATAATAATTTTTAAAATAGATTGTCAATAAATTGATAATGAATTGTTATTATTATAATAGATTTAATCGTCTCGTATAGTTTGTGTTGCTTTGTATTAAGTTTAATTTTTTTTTATGTTTATGTTTAAATAAATCAAAGTAGGTATATTGTATAGTATATTAATATTGTAAATAGTAAAAAGATATAAATGTAAATTTGTTTTTAATTTTCATATCCAAAAGTAAGCTTATTCAATTTTCAAAAATCAACAGCAAAGTGTAACATCCTATATAAGTAACCGCTATGTGGCGCGAAATTTGAAATGCTTACACACACATGCATAAGAACACAAGACAATTTTGCGCGGCGATTCGTAGTGGCCGGGCACACGACGGGAATTATGACGAGAGTGGGTCAAGCATACGAAAGGTTAAACAAAGTTTTATACTGATACACTTGGCTTAGATATTAATCTATCTTTACTAATATATAAAGCTGAAGAGTTTGCTTAAATGTTTATTTAAACGCGCTAATCTCAGGAACTACTAGTGCTAATTGAAAAATTATGTTTGTGTTAATTGAGGTATTTTTAAGCAAGATCAGCATCAGGCGACCAATAGGACCGAAGTAGAATGATTCTTCTTTAAACAATCTAATAAAATGTCCACGACAGTATAAGTCTATCTTTTAAAATTAACTCGCTCGAACGACGCAACGGATCCTGTCTGACAGTGAGGTTACCGTCACTCGTGTTCTTCAACACGACAATTTTGCAATATTTAAGTTATATAATCTTCGGATTTAAATTAAACATTTTACCGGTTTAAAACGCAAAATATGTTAGATACATTTACGTGGGTATAAATATCCCGTGTCCACGTCTGCTGTAATAAGTACAAGATGTGTAAGTAGATAAAGTTTATTCGTATTTTAACTATACAAAGAATAAAGTCAACGTGAGCATATTATCGAAATCTAAATAATTTAAAATCTTGTCATATAAGATCCGTGAAAAATATCTTGTAATGTACTTTTTACTAAGCGTAAATATATTTTCATAAAAATATTTGGAGATAGGTATTTAGCTAGTTCGTTATAAATATCACGTTAAGTTAGCTTTTCGTCTTTAATTATTAAGTGATATTAATTAATATAGACGAAAAAAAACAAAATTACCAACGTCTTTCCGACCCTAACCCTCCCTCCTAACTCCCTTAATTCGACTTTACGTAACCTCACACTTACACACCTAAAATGTTATATTGTATTATTTTAATAATAAGATGGCGCAAAGATAGTCTAAAAGTCTCGAGTCCGTTTCAACTTAAAAACAATTAGGTAATTGACATCACACATTTTATAAAAGTAATTTCGGAAGACAATTACGAACTTACACATGATGTTGTTGTATAACAACCTAGGCAGATTGAAAAAAAATTGAAGCAAAATCAACAATGTTCCATGTTGCTGCTCTAATATTTTTTAAGATAGAGGAGGATAGACAAGCATGAAGGTTACTTGCTGGTAGGTGAAATACCGCAGCTAGGTATAAATCATCTAAGCAAAATGCACTATCGACCTAGGTAAGTAATATATTTTGTGGTTGGATATTCGGAAATCCACAGACTGAAACTGAAACGCGATTAAACTTCACGGCTTTTTCATATGTGAACGGTGGTAGGTGACTCGGCCGGAATATCGATATTTCGACGACCCATTTAACATCAAGATTTCCAGACTCCAGCATGTTATAGAAAAAATATGAGTTGATATTTAGACATACAATGCTACTATTACACCCACGAGTCCGACCAAAAATTTACGTGTAATTTAAAATGTAGACATTAGGCTTATAGTTTAGTAAATAGGTAATTTAAGTATTGGCAATGGTAAGTTCATTGCCAATACTTAAATTACAACATACTTTTCGTTTTTAATAAATAATGTGCGTTAATTGCAATCACGGCTGCCATGCTGTAAGAGTACCTATGCTTAATAAGTTTCTTACTTACCAATTTGTAGGTAGGTATATCAAAATCGAACGAAACGAATCATCACAAAAACGGGCGGCTGTAAGATGAATATTTCTTTGTGACCTACCTAGTTTAGGCCGCATCACAAAATTATTTTCTAGAATCAAAATTACTACGGGCTTGAATTAAACACAGTTGACTATATATCTACTTTATAAATATTTAAAATTGCGCAGTGTCAAATTAAAGTAATTATGATAGTAGTTTATTAAAATAAACTATGTGACTAATAATATTAATATCGCTAATTCTTATGGGAAGGAAAAAGAAAATGGCCGCGCCAAATTAAGACGTAGTTAGGTAAAATCAGGTAAATAACTCAAATTAAAACTTATCCGCATTTAGAATAAAAGCGAAGATGATAAGGGCTGGAAGAAGAAAATACCTTGCAATTTCGTTTTCTTTGGTGTACTTCTGGACGGGTTTCTGTTCGTTTTTACACACAAATGTAAGACAGATTACACTACTTAAATATAAGTACCAAATTTTCAATAAAATTATAAATACGCGTTTAAGCGGTCGCGCACTCAAAACTAACTTCCGCGGAAGCCAGAGGTGCTTGGTATTCCGGCGCGGGCGGTGTGATAAGTTTTTTTTTTCATGCCACAGGCATCGACATATTTGGGAAAGGCAATTGTAGATTATATACATAAACACCTGTGAGGGTCTTAGCTTTAACATAATTTAAACGTAAATCATATTGTAACTCGTTTTAATAAGACCCTTCTATAATGTATTTAAAAATGAGTGAGTATTTTATTTTAAAAGCAATCATAACGCAATTCATATCGCAGAAAGCAGAGATGGTAAGATGGACCAATAAGGTAACGGCATTGCAACGGGGTGTTGCGCGCGCATGTCTAGTATATACAAAAACCGTGTTACAAAATGTTAATTTTACTTGATGCGAACACTTTATTTAGACTTATCTTCAATTTACATAATGTGTCGCATCTTCGTAGATTTACTATCTATCTATTTAAAAGTAATCTAAATCTACAAAATCGTACATCTGATTGATAAATAACAATATAGGCACAAAAATCCTCCATTGCAAGATCTGAAAGTTTTAACTTTTAATTATAATCACATTTTCCTATTTCAGATTTGAAATAGGATTTAGAGTGCTGAATCCTACTTTGTACGTTGAAAGGAAAAAAATTGCGTCTCGCTAATCATATGCGAATGACAAAGCATGTGTATGTATATAAGGATAGAAAAAGTTTTAATAAACTTACTTCTTTCTATTCCTTGGATCAGCCAACAAGTGACTTATTAGAGACGTTTTACAAACTGCACGATACAACGTTCAAAGTAGAAGTATTTTCGAGGAATACTTAAAATGGCACAATTCACACGAGAATGAAACTACCAGTTTTTTTTCGAACACACTCAGCCGCTGCTTCTTTAAAACTGATGCTGGTCGGAAAGAATTCTCACTAGGCGGTGTTACTTTGTTCGATGTTTGAAAATCCCGCTTATTATACGAAATCGAACAATATTTCAGCTTACTGGTTGTTACATTAACAATAATATTAGTCTTCGAAAAACTAAAAGTGTTTGATTTACATTTTTTGAAATATTACCTATTCAGCAGCGATAAAAAACTCAATGTAAAAAAAAAACCTAAAAATATTTCCTTTTTTACCCATGTCAACAGTTATTTTTAGTGTTGCAATCCTTAATAAATTGAAAAAATATTTATATATATATAGAGTTAACTCATCGTTCAAGTAAAGGGGTATTTTATAAAAAGTAAAAAAAAGAAGAGAAGGAAAATTTAGATTTTATGCGTCGGTAAACTATGTTTAGGTTTCTTCATCATATTCTATAATATTATGTTGAAGAAACGTAACGTAAGAGACAGATATCCATTCGGGAAACAAAACATTATGTTCTCATCAATTTAATTTTTATGATGTTATTGCTAACGCGCCCCTCATTTCCCCCAAGTCCTGAATACATTTTTGCTAGTTGTAGTTAAACAAAGGAGCTTCCGACCAGACTGCATGGTACTTGTAAAACTTGAAAACTGAAACGGACCAAAGACGCTAAGATTATGTGGTGTTTAAATACGTTCAAAAACAGTACTAGTATTCTATGAAAAAGATTCATGGTACCATGATGCTGTAAACTAATTATAAACTGTTAGGAACAATAAATTCCCAGTGTAATAAATGCTGAATATACAATAGGTATTATATTTGTGGTATAAGTTTGAATAAGTACGTACTACTTAACATTACTAAGTATCAATACAATGCTTAGATCTCCATAATTGAATAATTTGTTTTTTAACGCAAAATCCATTTTTCATTGATGACATACAGGCAAATTTATGTAATCATTTTTTAAATAAAATTATTTTAATTTTTTTATTGGGCAATTCATATTTCCATAGCTGTTTTGTTTCGGTTGTGTCTATTGTAATCCGTCAGCGGTGACGTCTTTCTTTATGTCATGCATATTGTGAGCTGTCCTTTATGTGTTAATTTAGATCGCAAACAAATAAGAAATAACTTTACTTTGAGAAGTACCACTAAACGACTTGTGTGAATTAATACAAATAAGAAGAAAGTCATATTACTAAAGTTGCTCACTATTTTCAGTTAAAAAATCCTAATGGGGGGCAAAGCAAAACAGAGCCAAAGAACTAAGAATAATGCCCGAGTTAGTATTACTATTGCAAGTTATAACTAATTGAGAATGTTTTCATTATCTTCCAATCCAAATGTCTTTATTTTAGCCATCAAGTAGCGGTCGAAGTGCAGAGTTACTTAACAATGTTATCAAAACTGATGATGTCTTTGGCATGTTGTATAAGGGAAAAACATTACCAACATTATTTCCCACCATGACGCCTATAATTCCTGACCACACAATGACAAATGAGTTTGCTTTAGCATTTAAAAAGCTTAATAAGAAAGATCCCATTACAAGAACCAAGGTAATTGATATTTGTGTGTTAAAGATATAATATAATATCAATGGAAAAGTAGTTGACATTAACTTTTGTCCCTTGTTAGGCTCTACAGGAGTTATTGGAGTTAGTTAACAACAGTGATACCGAAGAGGTGGTGGCAATTTTACCCAGCTGGGGATTGTTTTATGTGACACTTACTATTGACACTGACCACAAAGTGCGAGAGCTTACACAGGTACATCTAGTAATTGTATGTTAGTAATAGTATGATTTACTACATTAGTTTTAGCAGATTATATTATAATTTTTTTGTTTAAACTTATTCCTAAATTAAAATCTATGTAGAGTTGTCATAGTGCAATAATGGAGCGATGTGGACGCCGTGTGGCCCCTCAATTGAAGCGACTGTTACCAGCGTGGCTCTTGGCTGTGCATGATGAACATGCACCTGCTAGGTCCATAGCTTCTAATTGCCTAAAGGTTGGTATTTGCTTGAGTATATACAAAAAGATTTTACATTATGTTTATGTCATAAATCTTTAATGTCATAAACAATTAGAAGAAAATAAACCTAAAGAATATTGTTTTTCTAATAAACATAATTCTTATTTATTTCAGACTACTTTTCCTGATCAAAAATTAAATGATGCAATAACATTTTGCAAATCTGAGATAATGGCACTGATTGTTGACAATATTACTGGAAATGCTGAAGCTATTTTAAATAAAAAGTAAGCTTTCTTTTCCATATAAATAAAAGTGTAAATAATAATTTCATATGATGACATTTATCTTTAATTAATAAAATAAAACCTAACCATTTTTCAGAGTGGAAGACCCAGATGAACGTAAAGTGCTCATGGCCCGTATTATATCAAGTAGCCTACAGGCTTTTTGTATGTTCTTAGACAAAATACTAGAGTATCAAGATTGGGTCTGGGAAGAGATACAAACATTATTAAACAATCCTGCAATATGGAAATTATCTGCAAATGATTCACATCATGTTAGGTGAGCTAAATTTTCTTTTAAACACAATAGTGCTATGACTGCTATCTTGATGCTGATATATGATTTATTCCTGACATAATGTTTGTCTTGTGAGTAACACATTAATAATGAACTCATCTCATTGCTTTTGCTTATTTAACATTAGAACTTTTTTGTTTTATTTATTTTGAGAAACACTTATCATAAACTGTTCTATTTAGGATTATCTACAATAGGTATATAAAGAATGATTCCTCTTTAAATGATCTAAAAAAAAAGGACGGCGACACTATATGTATATCTTTTAAAATTTACTTGCAAGAACGACGGGAAAGGACGCGACTGACGTCGTGGGTAACAGGTTAAGTTTATAAAGCTAAAGGGGATTGCAAAAACGAATTTAGATTTTTCCCAAAATAACCATTCCCGGATGAAGTCGTTGACACAGCTAGTTATATATCAATGTCATTGCACTATGGTAAATTGTATTCAATTTGCAGAGCAGCTTGGTTTGATGCCATCGGACATATCATACAGAGGCATCATACAAGGTTGGGCCCCCAACTGGGTGGTAAAATGGCAACAATTCTCATTTCACAACCGGAGAAGAGAGCTGATGTGGCCGCCAGTCGTTGGGCTGCGCTTCTACTATTGCTTCACGTAGAGGTTAAAAAATGCGACATATTTATTTATTTATTTCACATTTAGGTACACAAAAACAGACCATACAGATACACTGCACTTTTAAAACTATAGAGTGTACCGGCCGGACTTATCGCTATAAGCAGTTTCTTCCAGGCGACCCCAGTAGAAAGAAACTTAACGATGATTAAAACTAGACAATGCGCAAGAAATGCTAAACTTAAACTAACTTAGTGTTTAGTACTATTTGTATAAGCTGTATTTTAACATTACTACCAGACTATGTAAGAAAGGTATTTTTGATTATTTTAAGACTCTCTTTACGTAAATAGTTTTATTTTTCATTGTAGGAATGGCACATTTGGCTGAAAAAGAAAGATCTCCTTGTTAAAAGATTATTTGACACAATAGAAAATGGTAAAGCACTTATTTTTTATTTGCAGTTCCTTATTACTATATTAAATCTAACAGCTAAACAATTTTGTAGGTGGGTGGGGTGATGTGAGTCTCCTAAGTAATATATTACTTCCACTCATATCTAAGCTGCCCGATGAGTTCTTGACAAGAGATTTCTATACCCAGCTGTTTAAAGCTCTATTTACTGGGTAAGCGAATTTACCATAAGCTTCGGTTAAAGATTCATATTATATCGGGTTGTCATTAATGATAGAAAACGGATTTGCCTACGATTAATTATTATTTATAAAAGTGACAAAAACAGTACCACAATTGATGACATACAGCCTGGTGAATTTCTTGATGAATAGTGTTCATATTATAATGTGTAATGCGTACTAAGTGCTCGCTTCTCAATGATTTGCTATCTATAAATCACTGGTTTCTCGGTGATGGCGAATGAGGGGGTCGACGGCGGCGGCGAGAAGTGGGCGGGGTACGCTCTTTCGCCTCGCTTAATTTATCTTCCATCCTTATCACTTCTACCGTTTCCACAATTTTTTTTTCAAGACTCTTGATATACAGACGCGCGTTCGTCGCGTTCACCTCCATCGATTGGCCCAAAAGTTTGAGCACAGGCAGAGAATCGCACTGGGATGACAATGCGATCTTTTGAATTTGGCCTAACAGCCCGTCCAGTACAATTTTCGTCTTAGCGCAAGTTGCTTCTAATTGCTCTTTGCACAACTTCTTTTCTTCCAACGTCGTGCGAAGCGCTTCTATGCTATCCTGCTGCTTGCATAACTTTGCCTGATGCTTGGCATGCTCGTCCGCTATGCTTGCCTTCAGCTTCTTGACGTTATCGCTCAAGTTTTTCAATTCACTGTTAACTTCGTTTATATAGTTGAATAGCGCGTAATTCTCCTCTTCGCGTCGCGTAAACTCTTGCATGAGTTTTTCGACGTCTTCCTCACCCATATACTCCTTTAGGGTATCGAGAATATTGACGTAGTTATTGTAAGTCCGCATTTCCATCTCTTGTTGCTCTAACTTTTTCGCTTCCGCCTTAGCGTCCGCTGCGGTTAGCCTCACTGTTCCTTTGGTGCGTAGGAATTCTTCCAACTTCAAGCTGTGGTCTAGCTGACGTTGTAGCTCTCTCACCTCCAGACAATGTTTCCTATAGTCTACGGCGGCCTTTTCTTTCAAGGCGTCGAGTTTGGAACACCATTCCTCGCGTTGATCGTACGTACTGATTGCTTGCTCTACTAAATCCAGAATCTGTGATTTACCCTCCATCAATCGCCTCACCTGCCCTTTCCAAACGTTGTTGAAAAATTGACGGTCGCGGAGAAGCCGGTCTATTTGGAGACGCATGTTATAGTTTTCACTATTGACAGAGTTGAATTTGGTCATCGCCGTATTCAGCCTGTTTTCCAACTGACTGATTATTGTCTGATTGTTTAACGCGTCGGTGGTGCCCTCCATTCCTGTCCCTTTGGATCGCAATTGTTTGATCTCTTTTTGCACTTGTTTTAAAAGAAAGTCGAGTTCGGTTATATTCGACCGATGTTCTCTCACTTCGGAGGAATACCTTTCGTGATCTTTGAGGAGCACTATTAATTTTTCTCGTGTTCTTGCGTTGTGTACCATGTTCGCCGCGCTCTTGGTGAGTCGGAGTTGCGTCATGATATTGTCTAGTTGTGACGAGAGCGTCCCAATGAGGTTCCGCTGCACTCGAAGTGTAGGTCTGACACTGCTCATAACAGTAGCTCTGTCCACTTCCATTACACGAAACTGACGTTGCAACTTGGATAGCTCATCTTCGGCCATTTTCTCCATTTCCATGTCATCACTTGGCCCAGACATTTTGCAAATATATTTGCACTTGAAAATCAAATATCTGCGTAGCGTTTGTTTTGACAAAAGGCATAGAAGTGAACATGTAAATTAAATCGATATTACCGAGCGACGTCGTTGTATGATCAATAACGAGTATAATAATAATATAATGATGAATTCTTTACTAATATTTATTGCAACGATTTTTCTTCCAGCTTAGAGTTAAAGACAATATTATCGTCAAAGAGCGAACGCCAATTGTGGATAACAAACATCGCAGATTGTCTACGGTACCTATCCATACAAAAGTATGATTTTGTCACAGAGATTGTAGCTCTCACTCATAGATCGTGGTTAGAAAAAATATTCACCATACAGGACTATACGGCAAGGGTTCAGTTGCTTAAGCATTCGAGTAATAAAATGGCCTCCATCGTCAAATATTGGATTAAACAATTCGCGGAGACAAAGGAAGACGTCTACGATAAACTGACAAGAAACTACTGGCAAAACTTTGGTATGACAGTGGTGATGCAAATCGAGAGGCTTCCCTCAGAAGAGGCCGACGTCGAATCACTCGTTCGGGAGCAAACGGTTATGTTCACATCATTAAAAGTCCAGAACGATAGAAAAAAATCTATAAGATTTGAGGGCGATCTCGATAAAGATGTGTCAGAACCGATCGTCGAGTACAGCAAATTAACTCTGGACGTATATGAGCACAGTATGAAGGATCTCTTATATAAGACCTGCTGCGCGTACTTCGAACATGCGGAGAAGAAAAAGTGTAGAGCGATATTTCCATCGCTAGTGGACTTTCTGATGAAATTCGGAAGCGAAGATATGTTTGTGAGTGTCGCAAGATCTTACAAGCTCGGCTCTGGATTCGCATTGTACGACGGAATACTGCGAGGATGGTTGGCAAGTGACTCGATGCGAAGTCGGGCACTGGCACAACTCATCTTTATTATGAGCAAGACCTTTAGTGACCGGGAGTTGGAGCTCTTATTCCATTCGTTCCAACAGGTAATTTACACTCAAATAATATAGCAATACTTATTTGAGTACCAAAACCACCAAAACGCGACTTGAAAAACTGCTTTTGACTTTCACTACTACGAATGGCGTGTTTACACATCAAACGTTACATATTTTTGGTGTCAAACGAAAGCCAAAGTTATATAAAGTTGACTTAATTATTTCCAGATGTCGCCAGTGGCAGTAGAGTGGTGCATATCTTTATCGCTGTCTCCCGAAATGTTGGTGCGGCCGGCGGCTTCCAAATGGTTACGCAGCGCACTAGTGAAACAGACACTGCTGTCGCTGTGCCGACGCGGAGATGAAGCAGGGTCTAGATTAGTTTTGGACTGTCTAGCATCATACGAAGGAGGTAAATGTTCAGGTGCCAGGATGAAGTAAACATTTCAATTCTCTTTTTCGCTCGTATCCTTAAGGTAAACGGGTACTTTTAAGACTCACTGTTTTAGTCACGAACTTTAAAAAAACATTTGAAAACTAGTGCAAGTATTTTTCGCGACTAGTCAAAAGAAGTAACCTAATTTTATTCTACGGATTACAGTATACAATAATATTCAAATTAAAACCTCTCTAGAAAAAGTGTTTTACAAAAACTGATACACTAACTATAACTTTTCGCTTCAATTCATTTGATCCTTGAAAATTGTTGTGGTAACAACCTATAATACTTGTGTAAGCTACAGTAGAGTATTATTCGCTCTCCAGACCTGTGTGTCGGCGAGCAGACCGCCCAAAGCATCGTATCGACCCTGACAGACACAGTGTCACCGGAGCGCTGCAAGTTGGCCGCTGATGTGTGTCGAGCTCTCGCCAGCACCGACTTTGCTGAAACAAGCCTACCGTTAGCTATGCGTATCTTTGATCTCGCCCTCGAACATTTAGTAGGTTCTTACTTACCTGTTGACTTAAAAATATTATTTATTACAAAATATCTAAATTGATATTTGATAAAATAAATTTCCAGTCAAAAGATAAGGACACATATACTGAAGAAGAGGTGGAGGATCAAGCCGAAGTGGAAACGTTGCGAGCGTCGGTCTGGCAAGCGGTGTTAGACGCGTGGTCCAGTGTCGCCGGGCCCGCCCTCTGCGAAGTCGCGATCCCCGCCATATACAAGCACTTGCTGGAAGAGTAAGCCATTTGTAAAACATTTAATTTTGTATCTTAAAGAAGGACGTAAGTTTAGTTCAATAATGGGACTGGACTCTAACCAACAATAGAAACTTACCGTTCTCTCCTAATTATTTTTTATCTAAATCACGTGAATTTGCTAGAATTCCTCGAGTATCCCTTTACATTATGCTTTCAAGAGGGTGTATAAGTTTACAAGTATTTAAAAATTATGTAAAATATTTGCAAGATTAAGTAAAGTATTTAGTGATTTCTTCTACTTTCAGCGAAGACACTCTGGACACACAACTAATAGAGCGCTTAGTCTCTCTCTGTCCCTTCCTCACCGACTACGATGACATCGAAGACCTGATAGACCAGATCTTTAATATTCCCATTGAATCGTCAGACACCGCTGTGCGAACGTTCGCTCTCCGCCAAGACTGTGTCTACGGACGTCTTTCGTGTCCCCTAGAAACCGTAGAAACGAAACGTCTTATAGAAATCGCGGAAGACAATACTCTGCGCGACCTGGAGAGACGAGATGTGGTTTTGTTTACGCGATGTTTGGTTCTACGTGCTGGTTTCTTCAAAGAAGTTATCGCGGACGGGAGGGAGAACGACGCCCGTCTGACGAATCCTATCTCCTTCGATCATGTGTTAATGCGTCTTTTGGAGGACACGGCTATTATAAGTTCCCTTTGTGATGGATATGCTTTCGTAAGTGACACCCATTGAGATCTAGACATTTGATGATTGATTTTAAATAATGCTGGCAATGATACGCTTTTATTCTACAGGCAAACTTCTATGACATTCTCAAACAATGCAAAGTGTACATGGACGCAAAAATCAACGACATCATAGATACTTATGACAACGATGGTGAATATCTTCGTCATATGTTGTCCCTCCTGTTAAACAAATCGACAGATGTCGGTTTTTACTGGATACAGGCATACAAACTGCTTAAAAACAGAGCACACAAAGCCTTAGACCTAAATCTAGATACAGAATTAATGGCTACGGTCGACGTTGCTATGTGCTCGGCCTCGAATATAAAAAATTGGTCACAGCTTGAGTTTTCCACGCGGATCGACATGTTAAATGAAATAGTTACCCAAAATGGGTATTATCATATTTTAGAGGTAATGTTTCTCTTATTTATTAATATAATAAAATATCTCAATTTATCTTTAACTAACTAAACAGAAATTAAAGAATGCTTCCTTACCATAATGTCTCAAATAGAAACAGACATTGAAAATTGTTTTAATCTTATAAAATTCTATCGAACGTAAGACGAAAGCAATAGAAGTCCCTACAATTTTTTATAGTATCCTTCTGGTTCTCTGGTCTGTTTCCCTGGCTCATCACTAAACCAGATTTTCTTTCCAACAAGAATCTCTCTAATGTATGTCCTCGAACAAACATTAAAAAAACATAAATGGTCAAATGGTGAACCTCAATTTTAGGTCAGTTAAAAAGGACTCAAAATGTGTCAATTAAATTTGTGTTAAATAATCAAAGTATTTAAGTGTAGTTGCAGCCATTAAATTGATCAAAAATTAAAAACTATGAGACCGTAAAACAACCGTTGTATGTAATAGGCGCTTGTAATTTTGCAGGGGTATAAGAACAAGACCCAAGATGCCGACTTGAAGTCATCGTATTTCCCAATGGTCCGGAGTTGGTGTGTGGCACACGACCTCACTTCTAACGCGGAGGAGAACGTTGGTCGCCGAGAGCAGTTTGCGGACAAAGTGCACGAAGCTCTCTCCACTTTAAGCCTAGTCCCCATAATGGACGACTACTACAAATACGGCGAGAAAATGTTTAACGACAGGTAATTGTTCAAAACAGTTATCGATGCTGCGATCCGTGGCTAATCCATTCTTGATAAAAATCATTTGTTTAAAAATTTTTATATTTTTATAAAAAAGAATAGATTTTTTTAAAAATACGACACCGTCAGGACTTGAACTGGCATCAGTGTTCCGTGCTGATGTTCTAACTAATTGAGCTATCGTGTTCTACACTACATCGTCGAAATTTTTCAACCTTAATACTTGCTCATTAAGGTTTGCTATACATGCCGGTTCAAGTCGTGCCCATGTCGTAAATTTTTTCAATTTCAAAATCGAATTTTACAAAGGAAGTTGGCTTACCATCCAAGTCAAGTGTGATTTCGCATATTTATATATAATTATTTTATATTTGTAGTGTTTCTTTATCTACTCGAGTTGCACTAATTTTACTTGAAATATTATTAAATATAAATTTCTAGAGACTATACGAAGGAAAGCTGGCGCATGACATGTTGTCAGTCCACGTTACTGGATTGCTTGGGAGCTATGGTGGACTCGCGCGGCTGGGACATGGATTCCCACGAGTGGGACTTCGTCAACATTGTGCTTTGTTCTGTGCTCACTTCGCTCACGCTCACACCGCAATTAGGGTGCACTAAAGTGAGTCATATTGTGAACTTGGAATGTCTATCTAAGTTTAAGATTTGTAAGTTAATACATGGTGTATAAAAATATACAAGTTCAAACCGTGTGTAAACAAGATACGATTTGAACTTATTAAACTTTACAGCTTTTTATTTGTGGTTTTTTAGTGGTGGTCCGTGGCGATCGAACCCACGACCCGCTTATTTATTAGCCGTACGTTGCTATCATCTGGTTAACGAATTCTAATAATCCAGAGTCCAGAATTAAATGACCCGAAAGGCAGTTAATTTTAGATGTCACATGACTTGTGTCTACAAATACATGTGGAATACATTTTATAATTTCCCACAGTTGGCGATGATAACGCGTCCGGCACTGAAGCTGTTTCGCAGCGTAATAACCTTCGTGAACAACGTTAGAGAAGAGTGCGTGAAACGCGAACCGCGCGCGCACATCGCAGAATTGCCCACGGAGTGGAGAGACATCTTTGCGCCGACCGCCTTCACGGACATCGTTGCGCTGCTCTCTCATGTTCTAAGTTGGTATCTGTTTCTTATTAGGCAGTTGTCCGCAATATATTTCGCGTTTTAAACCGCTAATAATATATTGGTTTACTAATACTTAGTGTTTATATTTTCAAGGGTCGGCAGAAGACACTACGATGACTGTGTGCTATGTGGCGACGATAGACGAGCTAATAGGTGCCGTGCGACTTATTAACTGGGACCTGACGTCGGCCGAGAAAAAGCAGAAAGAACACTCGTTGGATACTCTGGCGTCACTCGCGATTCATGTGCTGAGCCAGGACGTTCCGTCGGCTTATAAGTACTTGGCTTTCGCGGCGGTGAGGATGCTCTCCAAACCCCTCGTCTTGGATGATGGTAATAAAAATAAAATATAATAAATACTTTACACAAACCAGGACGTATTTTAATTTAGATCAATAGAAATTCTTTTAGAGATGTTTTAATGTACTCTGGAAGTCGGTGGCAACTGTAGAATATGAAATTACTAATTGCTTGGTCAAAGTTTGAAAAAAGATTGACAATTTTCATGACGCGGTAAGCGTGGTATCCGGGTGTAGAAGATTAGACCATTAATCAGCATACTAATCAAATTTGTATCGTATTAACTATGAATACATTGTTTTTTTCTAGTCGAGAAGCTAAGCCAAGCTGGCGAGCGCAGTGAGCGAGAGGGCGATGAAGATGAAACTATTATATCCCTCTCGCTCGCACGATACTACGACGCACTGCGTATCCAGCTTGTTCAACTTGACGGGTTGTTGCAGGAAGACAGGTGATTCATGATTAACTTTTAATTAATGGAGGATGAGAAAGAATGCCCATTCTTTGTGGATGTCTTTCTGTTTCTTTATGCTATGTAATTTACAAAGAGATAAGGATTTTTTAATGAAGTCTACGATATTACAGAAAAAGAGAACGAGAACGAGAAACGATTCTTAACTTAATATGCTTCTTTAGATTATTAGATTAAATGTTTCTTCTTTTTGCTCAGCTGGTATAGTATGATTTTCATCATAACGTAGAACGTTTTTATTGAATATATTTGACGTATTTATGATGCGTTACAGCAAAATTGAAGATGAATCTGTCGACAAATCTGCGCTGTGCTCGGCCTCATTGAGTTTCCTGCTGACAGCGCTAGCTGCCTTGATGCAGAGTGAATTGGCGAGAGGCGATCTTGTACACCACTACATTAACTCCTTTGGGTCAGATCTGATTTCTCTTTTATTTATATTGTCTTCATTGTATATATGCCCCCCCCCCCATATATCAGGGGAGTAGGATGCTACACATAATCGATTAGCGATTTTATTTATTTTTGATATACAACATGTTAATATATGTATAAGCTTAAAGGAGGTTAATAATTGCAGAGAAAGCGAGTTAATATCGTGTATCGTACTGGTCTCGATGCGGCTGTTGCCAGCCGACGTGCTCCGTGCTGCGTCCAACGACTCTCCCACTGCTGCCCTCTCTGATAACACGTTGGACCATTTCACTGGCGATCCTAAACTCTCGGTGCACGGTAGGTATAATGATTTATTAAAGATAGATGGACTGATCAGAACATACTTCAATATGAATATATATTAATGGTGTACAAGTTTTCTTCTGTTAGACCTAATAAAAGACGTATACAGCACTAGTTGTAATTACCAACAATTAGTAATAATAATAAAAAGTGGTCAATTAAGTAACATTAACAGCTAATTTTTAATGAAACCTCAACTCAAATATATGTGTGCAAAAAAAGAAAACAGATAAATTATCAATATGATAATTTGTTTCCAAGCCCCCTTCCACGAGGCGATGGACAGTTACCGTCATTAAATCACGATTATAAATACTATAGTTTCTGGAAAATTATAATTGATTGTTAAATTGTTGTAAATGTGCCTTTAAGGTGTTCAATATAAAACATGAATTACAATTAAAGATTACAAATTGATTATAGATTGTGCTATGTACATTACAATGTATTCACCCTACTAATGTAATCCCCCCCAGATGCCGATATAATGTCCATTGTGCACGCGACATCCTGCCGTGTCCTGTATAGCACGATGCGAGCGGCGAGCGGATCGGTTCGTTCGTACTGGAGCTCGATGAGCGCTCGCCGAGCGGCCACGCTGCGCCGGATTGTCATTCACGCGATAGCCCAACCGCTCATCGACGAACAGCTGCAGCACTTGCGGTACCACAATTCTATTTTGGAAGATGCCGAGGTAATCTCAGTAAACAGAGAAACAGAACTAAATCTTCATCACTGAAGTGTCTATCACATGGATGTGCAATGCCCGACTGTGTAATCGAATGTGTTTCAATTAAACAGATTTTCATACGTGTGTCGTAAACATCAAAAAACAACTTAACTGTTAAAAGCGAAATACATTAGATAACGTCCTTTTAATTATTATGAAACTAAGTTAACTAATACAATTTACGTTTTAAACCGTGAGAAACGTTTTATCTAGATTATATACCTTGATCAAGTTTCTATAACTTATTAAGCTTTACTTCAGCTATATAATAAATGCCGCGAACTCTTGTAGGTGTATATATGGCGTAGCCAAGGTGGGAAGCACAGCCGCGGTGAGTGCGTCGTGCGGTGTGTGGCTACGGCTGAAGAACGTGCGCTGGAGCTGGCGATCTCGTTGAGCGAAGCGCACCCGCTGGACCCGCCACGCCCAGTACCCGTTGCAGCGGCTCCGGTGCCCACCCACCGTCTGCATTTCATTCGCGTCTATCTCGCATATCAGGTACCTCCGCCAGTCTAGTTTCTTCTATGAACCTATTACTTTAATTTCAATAAAGGGGCTTTTTACAGTAGAGTTCATTATCGCATCTCGTAAAAGTAGTAAACTTTGCTTGGTCATGAAAAAAATTAAATACTCATGATCGCCACTCATGACTAGGCAATATACCATCGAAATTATATAGAATGTGAGTGTACATAATTGAAAAATATATGGTTAATCTTACAGAATGGTTGGGTTATAAACGCGCTGAAAATGTGGACGGAAATGGTTCGCAGTCGCGTAGAATCCGCTGCACAGTGTTATATTTGCTATTGTCGTCTTCATCCGACAACTGGGAAACTGCCAAATGTACCGTGCTACACTTGCAACAACCGCTTCCACTCGCATTGCCTCGTAAGTACATAACTTAGGAAATATTACTTACTAACTTTGCTAGCAACTTTGTCGGTTAGTTTTCCTTTTGTGTTTTTTTTCTACATCACAACTAAACTTTTAAACGATTTTATTCATACTTATACATACAAATTGATTATGTTGTTATGGAATGCATGAAATTATGATGTTTATTATTACTCTAATTGATTGAGTAAATATGACTAAAGAATATAATAAGAGCTTTGTTACAGCGCAAATGGTTTAAAACAAGCAAGAAATCCAATTGCCCGCTGTGCCGAACTGTGTTCTAAAACTGCGGTGTGGCTTCAACATTCTTCTTTTGCTCATGGAGATGTAATATAGTTGTTACTTTTGTTAATAAATGTTTTATTTAATATTTTGTTAGAGTACTTAATTTCCTAGTACGACCACATTGTTTCATCACTTGATTACACTATTACAAAGCAATCAGCATAAATAAAAGAGTTAATTTGCATTATATTTTATTATACCATGAAATATACAATAATACAGTATACTGAGACTTGAGATCTAACAAGTACAAAACTTATCTCAACGTTGACTAGAGTAGGTGATTACCATCAAGAAGTACATTATACAAGCCTCCTACAAAATAGATCCATTATGTATTTCCCTAAAATGCAGTATTGACTTCGAGTGATTATTTTAGTTTTGGCATTTTACATAGACACATAACCTTAATTATAAACGACTAACAATGAGATCAATGTATAGGTGGAACATTGTTACACTCGAGATATATATATAAAGACAAGTAGTCACAAAATACTGATTATATTCTAATAGTTAATACTTAAGAACTTGTGCAAGCCAAGTTTGGTTAAACAGTCTTCACGTCATTACAACTTTCCAAAAGAACACAGAAAGACAAAGTGAACATTCATCTAAATCTATTGAATAACTATTTTAAAACATATTTGAATAGTGCCACAGTGTACTCTTCGAGTACTCCTACTGAATACTTAAATATTTTAACGTTTAAAGTGACCCTGACTTTCCAGGTGTCTTCTGTCCCATGCAATCAATATAGACCTTGATGCACCGGCATAAATATGTTATGAAATTAAAATATTCAGCACATTCAAACCAAATCAATATTAATAGCATGAGAAGTTGATTTTTGTAGGTTGCAATGGCCATAGTTTAAAAGTAATAAAAAGATAAATATGCTAAAATTAAAAAGATGTCATCGGTCAACACTTTTTAACTATATAGTTTATATTACATAGAAATAATTGAAACAATATACAAATAGTAAACATAGGACTGCCATTGCAACAAAAAAATATAGTAAATTAGCATAGGTCGGTGTGCCATCTAATGAGCAGTCATATTCTGGTTGATCCAATCTATGTCCTCATAGAATCGAGGGTCACTTACTAGAAGAGAAGCTCTCTTGTAGAAGAAATAGTAACCCGGGGCCACTGAAAAATAAGATTTATTGAAAAGACTGGAGGTTTTGTAGACAAATTACTTTGACTTTTGTTATTAATAATTATCAGACCTATTAAAAATTATGAATAGATACCCATTTAATATAGAAGCCCTGTAAATAAAAAAATATTACAATACATAACAAAAAGAACTTACTGCAGCGTTGAAGTGTGAACAGAACCATTACTAAGGGCTTGGAAATAGATTCACTCTCCTCCCATTTTTCAATGATCCACACAGACTGCAAGGCAATAGATAGAAGAAAGTAGACCAGGGTTACTGCAGCAGCCACTCTGAACTTGCGTATCAAAACTTCCATTAGACCAGCCTAAGGTTAAGTTAATATACCAATTAAAGTTTTACCATTTTATGAGGTGAAAGTGCTATGATACTTAAAACACTTATTATATTTTAATTGCACTTACTTGAAATAGATATGTTGAGAAAAATGATATCAGTATTGAAGTAATTGCCAAAACCAGACATAAATCCTGAAAGCTGAAAGAAAGACAATTATTATTTAATTATTAAATTTTTTTAAGAAAGAAATTATTAGACTGAAACTGGTTTAATAAATTTTATTATACTCACAAAAACAAAAGAAGCAGTCCACCGCGGCTCTTCGGGAAAAGGCTCCAACAATTAAATAGTAAATCACAACACATAAACAGCATTTGAAACACTAGGCATATCGAATATCTTGGCACGGATACTTTCATTACGACTTTCTAACAACGCTGAAAACTACTGAAGAATTCACACAAAAGCGATCGATCGCTGCTTATTTTCTTTTATTTATTGACACCGACCACCGAGTGCTAGGACTGCAGTCTGCAAGTGAGAAACGAAATCACAGACGTAGTAGGGCATAACGAAATATGAACTAATTTAATAAGCACTAGTGATGTAATCTTTGTTAGTGATGTTGAGAGAGAAGGCTAGTGGGAAAGGTCAAATAAGGTATATTTCTAAATAAGAGCGGATATTAAATTATATTGAATAAATATAATATCATATAATTAACCAATGTATTTTTTTCAGTTTCAAGAAAGTTAGCACTCGTTTACCATGACAGTATAGGGAATCAATAATTGTTCATTTAAATAGACTTTTACAATAAAAGAATATTTATAAAATCGTTTTTTTTTTATATTTATATTTTTGTTTCCTACTTTTTATGCAGATTATGGTGTTAAAATAACTAAAAAGTATCGATTGGTCAAATTGATATCAACTCAGTAATCGGTATTCGGTAGGATTTGAATCCTAGGCACAGAGTGGCAATTTTTAACAGATAGTACATTAAGACTATACGGTTATAGAACATTTATCGAACCATTTCCTTGACATTTACTTTCTTTAAGCGATGTGTATTGTATTTGTAAATTATTTTGTTTGAAAAACAGCTAATTTAATGAGTGTCAGTATTATTTAGGTTGGTGTTATCTCCATAACTTACATTTAGGACTGTCCGAATCTAAAAAAATACGGGTACTTCCGTCTAAAATACAGGAAAAGGAAGTTTACAAGTGAAGTGTTCCTTCGACTTCCATATCCTGTTGAGTTATTTAAGTTTGAATATTATTGAATGCATAGAAGTACAACTTAAAAGATACATTAAAATTAATGTGCATGTAATTTCTAAAGCTTTTTAAAGAGAGATAGATGATATTACATACCTTGAAAACCAAAACCATTACCTCTGGCCTACAATTTGAAATTTGCATTTTATATGGTATTAAGTAAAACGATATTAATGACTTGAGGGGAAATAATATAGGAAGTAACAATTTTACAGTGCTGGGAAGTAAATTAAAATGAGCACTGAGCTTTGCACTGAAGATGCAGTTCTTCAACTGGCTACTCCTCAAGTTTCTGTAAGTAAGAGTGATTGCACTATGAAGTGAGTATTGAAGACATTCTTTATCACAATCAATTGTTGTATAGTTAAACTTAAATAAATATTTTAGTTTGAGCAAACTTTAAAACACACAAAATAAAATATAAGTCCAATCATCCTATAATACAAATTAATATTTCACTAATGTAGTCTGATGCAACATGCATTATGAACACCCTTGCAAGTCGAGCACAGAATGCAACAGCAGGAATGGAGCTGGGTCGAAAGTTACTACTAGCTGCTCGTGCTGGTGATACACCTACAGTACTGGAACTAATGGCTAAAGGTATTATTGATCACTTAATTAATTTTTAGAATAAATATGAAATCTAACAAAAAAAATAAAAAATAATGAGAAAAAAACTGAATTACCAGTATTGGTTCATGTTGTATTAATATATATTATATGAAACAGTAAATATAGCATAAATAGTTTTTTTTTACTGACAGCAACAATAAACAAGCAGAACATGTACAAAACATTGATAGTACCGATATTCACATGAATATATTATGTTTTACAATTTGACCAAATGTTCTTAATAAATTAAAATGTAGACTAAGGCATCGTGTGCAACTGTTTCAGGAGCTCCCTTTACTACCGATTGGCTTGGAACATCCCCTCTACATCTGGCAGCAGCAAATAATCATGTGGAAACATGCTCTGTGTTACTACGCGCCGGTGTTAGTAGAGACGCTCGAACTAAAGTTGAGCGGACTCCATTACATTTAGCTGCTCACTCGGGTCATGCTGATGTCATATCATTGCTACTTGGACACGGGGCCAGCCCTGATTGTAGGTTCGTATCGATATTTAAAGGAGGGTAATAGTGGAGGAAGAGTCTAACTGTTCCTTTTAACTATATATGATTGTACCCAGTCTGAAATTAATGTGAAACTGGAATATTCTGGTCTTGTTTTGGCCATTTATTGACTGATTGACATCAGCTGTGTGCCTATTACCTATAAGGAACAATGATTTTTGACTATGATTTATCCTACTCTCACTAAAACTAACATGAAATGTCAATAACAAAAACAATATATGAAAGCAGCCTTTTGGCTATTGGTAGAGTTTTCAATAAAGATTGTTTAAGTAGATGATTTGATGAGATTAACGAGAGCGAATATCCAACTCATCATAGAAATCATAACAGGACATTGCTGTCTAAACAGACATCTTACAATCATAGGAATAGGCAGCGACCCCCTATGTCCGGAGTGCAAAGAAAGTGAGGAAACAAGCACCCAGCTACTCACTGAATGCTCTGCGTACTCGACACTGAGACAAATACATATGGGTTCGGACGATGTTACAGAATATGACATCAAAGACAGATGGAAAAATAATAAGATTCTGCAAGCAAACTGGAAGGTTTGAAGGGGACACGGGGAGAGTTGGATGACCCAAAACCTCTGCAAGGAGGAAATGGGTGAAATGGTCAACTGATAATGTGGCAACTGATCACCCGTCCTACTACAGGTGTCCGGAAAGAATCATCAGGAAAGAAAATAATAATAAGTAGATGATTTGAGCTTCTCTCACTGTCTAACGTATTATAACTCCCCAGTTTGGTCCAAAAATTACCTTTCCTCTTTTTATAAACTTGAGTAACAAGGACCTTCCTGTTCCAGAGACATGCTGCAAATGACCCCATTGCATTGGGCGTCAGCGCGAGGCCACGAAGCTGCAGCTCGGGTGCTACTTCGGGGTGGGGCTAGTCCACTTGTTCGATGTAAATTTCACAAACGTCCACGTGATCTTGCCCTTAGACACCACCACTCAGCATTGATATCCTTATTACAAGAAGCGGAACTTCAAACCGCTACTGGTAGAATAGATTTTTTGAATTGTTATTAATGTAGCTGATGGCATCTGTTTGCGATTAGTTGCCAAGGAACTATATTGGTCTTTGTAATTACATTTACCAAACCAAAGTAGAAAAAAATTTCATCTTAAAAAGTTTTAGGATCAAACATTTTTAAAATAAATTTAACTTCTTTTTTAATATTTTTTATTACAGAACATCTTATCCAAAAAGAGGAAAAAGAAGGACAACATGAACCAATGGAAAGTAAGGTTTCCTTTCATATTGAGTCAACTTAATTAACATTAAATTATGTTACTTAGTTATTTGTATTTTCTTACAGGTGTTATAGAGGTTGAGCCTACGAAAAAATTGCTGGACAATGTTATCAGGATAGAAGCTAAAAAGGTAAAAGGTTTCCTTCATGCTTAACAAAACTCTGTCGTGTTCAACTAAAGGCTCGGCCAGAGTTAATACATTTTTTCAACCGCGTTAGAAAATAAATATGTTTTTCTTATTTGCTCGCTTGTGATTACAGGTTAAACCGAAATCAGTAACCAACGATGCGACAACAACCAGTAACGAAGCGGCGCAATTGTTGAAACGCCACGGCATTACGCTACTTCCAGCAGACAACGGCAGCACCGTACTCACTGCGCTGCAAAGCGGACGGACAGTCGCTCTCTCAGGTCTGCCTATCATCGTCAACCCTTAGAAAGTTCCTCCTCGTTTCGGTAGGGCCAGTCTATCGCCCTTTGCCACTTGCAGGTTCAGTATGTATATATATTGCAGATGCTGGCAAATTGATGTTGCAAGAGAGTAGCAACACTATCCGACACACGGGTCATAACCCCGGCATGGTGATAAGGGGACGGCCGCGTTGCGGAGCCGGCGCAGTCAAAGTGCTAACTCTCAACAACAAGCTAGTCGCGCTCGGTGAAAGAGAACGCTATCAGGTACTGTAGATGTTATAGTCTGTTTAATTTTCTGTAAATAAATTACTTTCTTGAAGATACTTACAAACTATTACTATTCATTAAAATCTGTAAAAAATAATATGTAATAACGTGTCGCTGACGTTAGAGCATTTGTTGTCGCTTTCTTTTTTAATTGAATAATAACCTAGAAAAATTATATATATTCAAGTACATAACAGACATTTAACTGTATAAAAGCTAAAATTTAACCACATTGTTCCTTGTATCCTTGACATGGTGGAGCCGAATAAAATATTTAAAAAAAATTAAGATATGTTATGAATTTTTCTTTACTTTCAGCCTGTCAAGTTTGTGCAACTATCGGCCGACGGAAAGATCCCGAGCGCGGGATTAAGTTCGATCGAAACGAAGGCTACGGCTGGAGTCAAACGTCCTCCGGTCAAAATTGTCATCAATCGAGGCAACTTCAATAAACTCGTCGCAGTTTCCGGCAAATCTGCCACTAAGATTGATGGGATGGTAGATATTTTACTATTTTTACTTTTCCGTGAGGTCACTTCAATCCCGGATAGACTTTCGATGACAATTGTTTGGTATCACTGGATGCTGGGTCTAGACCCATACTAGTATGCAGCCGAGGAGAGTCAATCAAAATTGATATTGCCATCTAATTTGTAGCATTATAAGATATATTGCAATGATTTAAGGTGAGAGATCAATTTTTTTTTACGAATAGTAGGTCACCTGGACAATTGGATTGCATTGCATACATTTAGTCTCGTGCTCACTTTCAGGTTGATCTTTCAGTAGGTTTTGGATAGCTTAACACCTCATAGATGCATGATTTTTTAGCTTTCTTTTCTTCAACAGAAAGCAACTGCGACTACAACGATTCCTACTATAAACGTGAAAGAGGAACGTGCGACGGAGCCCGAGTCGTCCTGTGGGGAGAACTGCTTAGCGCGGCGCGAGCTAGCAGTCGCCGTCGCTACCATTAACTCTTTGCGAAACCAGCTGGCCGCTGCCAACCAGCGTATTGCTAGCTTACAGAATACCTAGCCCAGATGTGCTATACCTAGGATCACAAAGGTTATTAACGCTACCCACAAGTCTATGTAAAAATTACTTGCGATATACATATGAAGGGAAATAGCGATACCATTACTTGGGGTATCAGGCACACTTTTGTCTCGATCGATAGATTTTTCTTATCAGACAAAGAAATCAATCTTCTGTGCCCTGAGCCTGAAAAAAAAAACTAAAGAGACCTTGTAGACATTAAGTTGTAATTAACGAAGTGTAAATAATCGCAATCACGATACGAGTCACTAATCTGGTTCAATACTTAAGTTTCTAACGGTAAAAGTGTTATGTTATGTGATCTAATTGACACAATATGTAATATTTTAATAGTAGAGTATTTTTTTATGGTTCAACCTTAAAACAACAAACCTTTCAAAAATCAACACAATGAAAAAGTGAGATAATACAATATACTTTTTGTTACAAAGGTTACAGTTTCAGGAGTTGTTACGTTTTGTAAAACATAATAAATTTTATATCACATTTTATAAAAGTGTATATTATTTTACTTTAAGCATTTTTGTGTTCTAGATGTACCTACTTGAAAAGATTTCAAAAGTTAAATAATATGAAATATATATTTAAAAAAAATATATTATGAATGTCGGGTACCTTAATGAAATCATAAAACTGTGATATGTAAAATAGTTTAAATTTAATTTTCATTATTTACAATCTGTTACAATCAAGGAAACCATATTATGAATAATTTAAAAACGAATTGTAGAACAATATTCCTAGATTGAAAAGAGAAGTAAATACTTAATGGTTTTTATTCAATAGAAGAATATTGTGGTGGCTAGGTGTTATGGGAACGCTGTCGAGCTTGGAGGACCTCTCGGAATTGTGCAAGTATAACATTCTCTCGCTTGGTCCTCTCTTCTTTACTGAATGCCGCCAAAGCGCGTTTCTCATCTGCCGAATAAATCTGGTTCTCTTTCCGGATACGGACAGCTTCCATGCGACGATGCCTGAAAATGTTGTTCATAAACTCTTGAAACTATTCTTATATCCCTGCGTGTCCCAAATATTGACAGAGAAATTATATTTAGACAGGTAATAGGAAAGTCTTGTAGGTAATTGTGTTACTGTATCTGTACTTTTCATAAGTGAATGAAAAATTCTACCATAAAAATAATAATAAATGATGTTAATTAGATTATTCTGAAAGTTATAGCAATAAATAGTTGCAATGCTGATCAGGACTCACCTACTTCCACTCATAACATATCCCACAGACTCATAAGATGCAATTTCATCAGAAGTAAGACCAATCTCTCCTCTCCGTGGGATTCGTTTCCCTTCTGCCACGTATGCAGCCATAGCAGCACCTTCTCCTGGCAACAATGCGCGCCCGAAGTCTTTGTGTCCCAGCTGTGGGCCCACTCGAGGAGTCGGTCCTATCACCTCACCGGCTACCTCTTCTGTACTCTTTGGTTTTGTTGTGATTTCAGCTTCATGTTCTTCTGTAAAATACACTAAGGATAGATTTGCAATGACAGAAGAAGCAGAGCAGGCTCAGGCCCACAAGGGGCTAGACACATCATGGAGATCTTTTCAAATTAAAAATATGGAAATCAGTTGTTTCTTAATTGTTAAAAATTAAAAAATAGAATAAATCATTGCTTTTGCCAGTAAGAGCGGCAAACATATCTTAGAAAATTTTCAGAAATTGCAGAAATCCAATAGTTTTATTAAATCAACTTACTTCCTTTTTCTACCCACACTTCTTCCTCAGAACTACTTGAGTCATCACTTGAACTTTTAGACTTCTTTTTGGCTTTTTTGCGCACCTTTTTAATTTTTTTCAATTTCTTTTTCAGTTTTTTCAACTTTTCTTTTGTACCATCTTTTGATTGTTTAGATTTTTTGCTTTTCTTCTTGCGTTTACTTTTCTCAGATGCAGTTGATTCTAGTTCCTCTTCAGAACTGGAAATATGCACAATTGCACTTTTACATGAAGTATTTAAATCAGTAAATTTGCATTAGTGAATTTTAGGTTATATTGCTAGCAATTCTTCTTAATAAATTCTAATATGTGTAGTCAATATTAAGAGCCTACCCAATTGGACAATCAAAGAAAAATATGTCATTATTAACATACTCAGGCCTTAAGGGAGATTTGCCCCAAATAGAAGAGACTCCAACTTCTCCAATTCTCTCTCGTTCCTCGCGTCGGGCATCCAAAAATTCTTCTTCTTGGGGTTTGTATCGAGGTCGAGGGGCTGAACCACTTCCATTGCCCAATCCTGTAGAGAATGTATGTGACAATAAGTAAATATTGAACAAAGGCCTTTCTACAGTGCACTTCCTCTTTAATAATTATAAGACATGCCAATTAACTGTATTTTATAACTAAGCACATTGTTTTTACCAAAGCCAAAAAAAATTAAGATATTTTTTACCACTTCCGAGACCTCCACCATTATATTGTCTGTAGGAGCTTCTGTCACGGTCATGTCTCTCGCGATCTCTGCTTCTTTCAAGTTTATCGTTGTGATTTCTTTCGTGTCTATCTCTACTCTTATCCCGTCTGCTATCTGGATGTCTGTCTCTACTTTCAGCCCGCCTTTCTCTACTTCCACCACGCCTATCTCTACTACTGGTTCGCCTGTTTCTACTGCCAGCTCGTTTTGATCTGCTTTTACTTCGTTCATCCCGATTATGACTTCGTTTTCTGTCTGTACTTCGGTGGCGACTACGATCGCGTACTCCACGCATTGTTCGAACTTTTGAATAGATTGCTCCGGAACAGAATGTAATATAATTATAATGATAAATTCTTTAATGTACTAAATACTTATCAACATAATTGCTAACATTAACTAAAAATATTGTTTACAAATTAACTCCTTACTGGTTGATATTTGACAATGACAAATGACAGTTGCCCCAACGTAAACAGATATTGATGAAGATCACAGCACTACGTATGATGCCGTCGATATTACTAAATGCTATGGATGAAAAATCTACACTCTATACTAATATATAAAGCTGAAGACTTTGTTTGTTAGAACGCGGCAATATCAAGAACTACGGGTTCGAATTGAAGGGACGCGACCGATGTCGTGGGTAAGAGCGATAATTTTTAAAGATGTGGAGTTTGAAAAAACAAATTGAGCAGGCCAAAATAACTATTGTACGCGGACAGAGTCGCTAAAACAGCTAGTAAAGTATACAATTTGTGATTGACCTTGATAAAGGTAAAAATTGAAGATTCCCCTATTTAAAGAACGTAAAATCTATAGAGATAAGTACTATTAAATACTTTTGCTAAGAACATATGCGCGTCTTGGTATTGATCAGATAATTTATATACTTTAGCTATACTTATTTCAAGATTATTTTGCTTCGTCTCTCAGATTAAAACATTAAAGAGAGTGCAGTTTTCTATTTTAACTATTTCACTCATCTTCTCTGCGATACTTCCCCACCCTCCCACCTATAAAGTGTTTTAATTTTACGTGGATTGTGTTTTAATTCATAACAGAGAAGTACAAACTTATCTTGTAACGAAGTTACCTAACAATGCTAGTAATTACAGACGAACTGTGGTAACATCCAACCCGGCGGCTAGCGGCTGAGACTCGCTAAACTTTTATAACAAGTGCGTCTGCCGACTGGGAAAACTAAAGGCATAAACTTGCTAGAAAATAATTACGAAGTTGCTAGTCTCGTAATCATGGCAACTTCGCCGACTCTGGATAAACTCCGCATATTGCTACAACTTTCCTGAAAATCGTTTTGGTTTTTTGCAATTAACGCGTAGTCTTTATTAAATTTAAGATCAAGTCCGAAGTACCACCGCTGCCTCTCACAGTTGTTGTCCTTATCATTCAGGCTTTTTATTTGGAAAGACCAAGGTCATATACGACAAATATTTGATAGCCATGATCGGTTGATAGATGGGTTATTGTAGCTAGAGTTGAGAAATATAAATAAAACTGCGTAACGGATTCGCTTTTTATTGTAAAACTTTTAAAATTATATACTACATAATAAAACTGTAGGCAATTAATTTAATTTATCTATCATCGTAAGGCGATGAAAAACGGCTGAAGGGGACTCGATGTCTTCAAACTAAGTTTTTCATTCATTTGACAAGAAATCGATGCGAAGGGCGGAGGAAAACAGGACCTCCAAGGTCACAGCTTTTGTGTTACTTGCCTGAGTTTTATGTACTTCGATAAGAAAAGGGTAGGAAAATACCTCTATTAACTTTATGAAAGGTTTACTTTCTCATAATATGATGTAAGGGAATGCTTTAGGAACTTTTGAGCTGTTACCTTTTGTCTTTAGAATTTGTACTTCCTTAGAATTACCGCAAAACAATAATAACCTAATACTGTAACACAGATTTTAGGAGTAAATAGAGGACTGAATTAATGTTCAAAGGCAGTGACTAGTATGTATGTATTTCACTGCAAATCTACTTAGATTTCTATATACTTATATAGCATTTACAATTCTCTTGCGCACACCAAGAATTCGGGTTACATAGACCAATGTCGAAATTGTACCCTGAGTTGTGGATCGATCGTGCAACGTTTCATAGCATCTTCATGTTCATATTTGACTTTAATGCTCCAAATATATTGCCGGAGCAACGCATTAACTGATGTGCGATGACTGTAACGAAGTTTTCGTGTAACGACTCATTCACCTCTATACATAATAAAAGTATACTAAACCATAATATTTGAAAAGGCTTCTCGATGAGACGACAGGCAACTTCAGTTTGTTTAACTACCGCACCGTAAAATGAGCTAGGAGTTCTGAGGGCGTCGAGTAGGTAAATATCGCGGCCTCTCTCCGAACGCAAATAAACGCCGAAATGCTCGCAGAGCAATTCGTTTTCATCGCGACTCACGAGGCACGAGCCCGCTGCTCATTAAGCTACGCGTTACCTTCGCCACCGCAAACTAACATTCGTGTGTATGAGACCCGGTTATGAGAAAACTTTTAATTATTTCGAAAAGTGTTCCTCGAAATCATTTACTCGTGTTGATGCTTTAGCGAGAACCATTTTAGCAATACGTACGTGAGGTTTTTCTCAGTAGTTGGTGGTTGATCAGAACGATAAGGTACAAGTTTTTAATGGCACAGAGGACAAAATCCTAATATATCTTGAAATTATATTAATTAAAATGAATCAGATTTGATGTTAGTCGATTGCTTGCGGTACGACAGCCGAAAAACGGACGGCAAGTTATTACTTTATATCATAGATGTCTTCGTTTACGGATGCCTTCAGTAACAATTGCATGTATTTACAGACCGGCGTGCACGAAATTACTTTAATGCGTTTCGATGATACGATGACGCAAGAAGGATATAGTTTTATCGATTGTTAAAACGAGGTCTCTACTCTCTGTAAAGATTCGGTTGGCCGTGTAGGAGAGGGTCGTAGAGTATGAGACTGTGGCAGTGTGTCAGGGCCGCAGTTGGCGCTCGCCCAGCGACGGCGCCAACCTTTGCGATTGTTCACTACCTGCTCGGCGCTCCCTTCTAGCTGCACAATTCACGCGGATTGACCCGTTTACACACATCTGTCATATGTCAGCTGGCTTACTTTAATCTTAGCCAAAAAACACGTAAAGTAGTTTGTTCTAGTTTATCTGCCATACTTAATTTTATTTTTCGAGTAGTCAAATTACCGTACTTGCAAAAACTTAAAGTTGGATAGAGCTCGTGTTTTTGTTTCAGAGGTAATTAAGATCTTAATATAACCGTAGCGAATGTCATTTTTCTTATCATACTATTACTTATAATTTTGTGCTATAAAATTAAAAAATATAACTAGATTTCCATTTATTGTAACAAATAAATTTCTAAAACCGCCCTTATAATCAGAAGTACTCTTAGCGGAAGGATGTTCGGGGTTACCAAGGGTAAATTGCGTTTGAGGCAGGGCGGTGGCGAGTCAGCGTCTTTTCCTGTGACCGTTTATTTCCGCGGAGCCGATCCGGTTATTGATCTTGCAATTTCGCGACACATTTAGCTGAATACGAAAATAACTACCCCGCATTCTTTAATGTGTTCATTTTACTATGTCGCGTATTAGTTTTTTCTATTTTGCAATGCCAGGAAAAATTTCGACATGTTTTACATATTGTGTATATACAATAAAGTCATTTTCATATTATACAAATTAGTAGAGATGCGAAACATTCGTTGGTGTCAAACCAAACTCGTTAGAGATACGAAAAGAGTCCCATTGACAAAAGAGGGCAAAGTTTTTCAATTACCTAAGAATCTCTCTGCGCTTCTGTGCTTTTATAACATACATTATCTTCAATGATCAGGAATGTTGCCAACGGGGAGGTCGGAGCTGCAGCTGAATCGTAGATAATTAAAAACGAATACCTCCCTTCTTCAGATCACAAAGCTAATATCAGTATTCCGAATCGGACGACTTCGTATCTCTTAGAGAGCTTTTTAAAAGCGGGAAATTACATATTATTGCGTTTTTTACTGACTATTACTAATTTCGGGAATCTACATGATACTACCTTAATGTAGTGATTGTCTAACTTATGAAAATCATTATTAACATGATTCCATAATCTAGTCGTCGGTTACACTGCCGTCTGTGAATTGATAGGACCTTGGTTGACATTCTAAAAAATGAATATAGTAATATGAAAATTATGTATAGAACTATGAGCTATTTGCCTGGCCGTGTTTAGAGAACCGTAGAATAGAATTTACACATAACTTGATATTTGTAGATCAACAAGCAATATGCTTCTGTATTGTTTGTCGGGCACAAGTTGTCACAAGTCAAGCATAGCCGTCGAGTGTTTAACCCAGCTACGGCCAAGTTTCTAAGTTGGTCAGAGTTAACAATCACGAATGTAGTAAGTGACCGCTATGTTCCCTTAAGGGCACCTCGCGAGTCCCCGCTATCGACAGGTTTGCGATAGATATAGATCTAGATGTTAGTCATTATTATTTATCAAGCAGTTATTTGTCGTTTGATTTGCAAGGAATTCATAATACTAGTGGGATAAACGACGAATCTATTGCGTCCGAACATTAATGTCCTTTCGATCATTTATATTAGTGTAGAACCATTTTAAGTAACTAAATGCTAAACAAAATAAATTGTAGTGAAAAGTGTAATAAAATACTTATGTAAAATAACGTTTTAATTAATTTAAGATATGTTACAACTCCAGTAAACATGATATCGTTAAGTATTCAATAACGGGAATTGGTATTTCAGTAATAAATACAAGAGTTCTACATAAAACTCAATATTTCTAACTATTGCTATTCGTGATCTTTAAAATACAATCAAAAAGTTTGGGGTCGAGAGAGCCTCGATTGATTGAGTCTCTGTTCTCTATCGGTTTTCAATTCACTTCCACTATTTCACTTCAGAAGAATAATTGGAAAACGTCACGTCACGTTTCTCCAGCAAATTATAGGCATCCGCAAAACAATACACCGATTATTAAAGACCTCCTCATTAAAATAAGAAGGTCAATGAAAACTCTTTAATTAAAAATCAATCAAATTAGGAATCTGTACGTATCTATATGGAATTAGCTGAAGAAGGCAAAAAGTGGTTTCACGTACCCACCGACATAAAAGGGGCCGACCCCTTTAATGTTTGACAGAAATCAGGGCAAAGACGCTCACCCTAATTATAGACTTCGTTTTGACCTCCTTTTTCATTAAGCACTTTTTACTCATCGATTTTATGTATAAAG